TCTTCCAAACTGGACAGAAATGTCTCAACCATTATTGTCAAACAATGGCAATGTAATTTTCTCGCCAGGTGTAGACTAAAAACCCCGGTCCGTTGCTGAGACAACCAGGAAAACGTTCCATTCTACTCGGAAAAACAATCCATCACGTTCCCTCCAAAGTTTGAACAGATCGACAAAAACGACTGGGGAAGGAAAGAGGTAACGAATTAGCAACAAAAGACGTCTCTTGTAATTTTGTGAATAGGACGCATGCTATATATGACAGGATATAGAGAATTATTATCGAGCTTGAATAGTCGGCCCATATACACATTTGAGAAAATAGAATCTGTTTTTAATTTCTAACACCCAATGGAAAACAATCAAGAAACGAGTGAATCATTATTCACTGAGTTGAATCATTGACACAATTCTCTGGTCTGACTATCTTGCATAGATGTGGTGTCTTGATCAATTCTTCAAGAGGACTGTTCTCCAACAGGCCACAGCTTTTGAGTAAGAGGAAACTTAGCCCATTGGACTCCGTCAACGTACACTGAACTGCAACGGAGTATACGATCCAAGAAGAAAGGACACCTATATAATAGGCGAGAGAAGAGAGGAACTATGAACAAAAAAATACCAGTTATAAGCTTGAAGATAAATGGTTTAAACAGTTTTCCGGGTGAGACTCGAACCTGAGTTCCCATACGAGGGAGGACAGTACAGCTTTTTAACGAGAGGAAGTTATGAAAATCGAAACCTGTTTAAAGCGTGGACGAACTTAACCGCAGATGGTTGGTTCTGGGGGGGGGACCACTCACGCCATTTAGGACTGAAAACAAAAACAACTCCACGTGGATAGTTCCGGGTGGGATATGAACCGGAGCCACCCGGGGCAGAAAGCGAGGGCAGTACCCAAATGCCAATCTGAACCTTTCTCATTCATTTTCTACGTTGAATATTATCCAGTTGAGCCGAAACATCACTTCCAATGACGCAACTGAGGACTTGGCCTAAATTCTCAGCCTTCAAGCGAGGACAAAAACACGGTAACAGCAGATATTACGAAACTATAACCCAACCCCCCGGGCATTAACCTCAATCACGACAACGGCAATGCAAGGATTTTTGGACAAAGAAATCAAGTGTTCATGGGTAAATTGTAACAGAAGATCGTACAACTGAAGGGAAATATGTATAGTTTTTGTGGCTGTAACTGTTTGGAAGCAGTGAGCTTGACGGCCGATTTTTATATGGGTAATGGCAATGACAGAAATGTTTTTGAAATATAAAAATAGATGCGAAGAATGGATTCTTACGGAAGGTTAACATTTTAATTCTATACCTATGGTTTAGGCCTACTTTCTAAATTCAAAAGAGTGAAAACTCACTTCGAGTGACGATTCACTCCCACAGTCGGAAACTAGGGACTAGACGTTTTAGAGTGAAATTCCTTCAATCGTAAAGATCGAGTTTACACTCGAGCTTCGACTGAAGTGGTTCTTTTTTTCAGACTATTTCAATCGAAAATGAGAGTGATTTTCACTCTAAAACGTCTAGTCCCTAATTTCACTCTTTGGAATTTAGAGAGTAGTTACGGTGCAACGACACTCAGAAAGGATATTCTGTAGTCCTGTTCATTATATCCGATCTCGCCTTTGGCGTGTTTGGATGGTTGCCCAATCTCAATCCAACAACCTAATGAAAAAAATCCTGCAAAATAAAATTGGATGTGGTGAAGGTTGTGTTGCACGCAAGGCCAACAGCCAGACGGGCAAACTGTGATGTTGGCGGACACTGAGTGAAACTGTTCTCCAGAAACAAACCTCTTTTCACCAAATCTGTCATTTCGAAGATCCTGCAATCCCCATAAAGAGTGCGATCACTTCCCCGTGGTCCAGATGTTCGTTTAAACTTGAAAGAATTCCGATTAGTTTAACAGTCGTCGAGACGAGTCGCTCAAGCAAAAATTATTTTTTCACCTATCACCAGTTGCAAGAGATTTTGTTGTTGGTGAGCTACGTTCCCAAGGGGGCGCTATTTACGTTCTGGGAATCAACTTGATCGTGGCATTGAACCGGGGCGATTTGTTATAGCAAAGCGGTGTCCGTGCAAACTTTTTTTCACCTCTTGTCTTTTTCAAAATAACCTTGACATTTCCGAATTGTTGATTTGATTAACTGAACGAAATACCAGTTTTTAAGTGTTTAAATCCGCCGGGTGTACTTTTCTGGCCACCCAGGCACTTCATAATCCTCCCATTTTTTCCCCACAAATGTCAAAAACAAGGCCTCTCTGAAGGCCATTTGATTTAGAGGAATTAGAGCCAAGTCTCAGTTTTGCTAGAATTCTGGCAAACCCTCAAATAATAAACTATCATCCCAAATGCTAGCCACTATACTAAACCTAGTTAGACACCCATTCCCTTTTGACAAGGATGCCGATCCGACTCAAAACTTCGGTACGGGAAGGGGGGGGGGAGGCAACCAATCAGTGCAAATTCGAAAGGGGTGGGGTGGGGAGGGGTGGGGTGGACCTCGTTTCACTCTATAGGGGTAATGCTTGTGGGGGTTAGCTTAGTGCCCCACTCACTCCGGCTACACCCAGGACTTTGGCCTATACTCATTGACTTGGCTCTGTGAAACTCCTCCTAGATGCAAATACTAACTAACAACCCCTACCGAGTTTTAATGACTGGAGGACTGAACAATTTAATAGAATGGCCAGCATGTACATCAGATGTGGCCCAGCTTGCTACAACACCCAAGCGCTTCTGTAAACTACTTGGTTTACAAAACCTTAGATTTAATTGATGTTTCATTTTCTGCATGTTTGATTTTGATGGTCGGTTTATTAAGAACACAGACTGGTAGTATGGTAATACACATTAATTTAATGTACACGTATATACGGTGAAAACTTGATAAGTCAAACCTCAAGGGAACAGGTTCCGAAATTTGCAGGGTTTTATATATCATTGTTCTACTACTCAGTGAAGGCAATGGATTTTTGTTTGACTTAACAGGTGTTTTGAGTTATCATAGGCTAATCCAGATTTCGCTGTATGTACGTTTGAGATGTGAACTGGCCACAGTAGAAACAGAAAAGTAGAAACAGAAAAGAAGAAACATTTGTGCCACCAAACACTTGGTCCTACTCAAAAGCATTCCTTCACACCTTCGTAATATGAATGCATAAAAAGTACATAACGCTTTGTTTTTTGGCTCTCTGCAAGTAAACAACCTCAATGGCCACTGAATTTTACATGTGTGGCACATTTTTACAAAAATAGCATATTGGCACAGAGGGCCAGGAAGTGGTACAACGTGGTTCATGTGCGTCTGGCCTTTCTAAACAGCGCCCTCAATTTCGGAAGACATTTACGGGTACTGATGTATTTTTCACCGCCGTGTATTACAATAACGTCCAGGTGGATAATTTTTATAAACTGTACATGCCAAAATCGATCATGAGAAATGTCCATGATCATGAGTAAAGAAGACAAAACAACTTACCCATTTTTCAGAATTTTTTTCGGGCTGACGTTCAACCGCGCCGGATGACTTCGGGAGAAATGTTCAGCGCCCTCTCGTGGTACGTTATTGCTGGCGTGATGCTGCCCTCTAGCGGTGTGAATGGTCACAGCTTTTCTTTTCCACAGCCATCGGCTCATCAGTAATCTGCACATTACTTCTTGTGATAGACATACTTCTATTATCAGGAAGGCAAGTTGACAAAGTTGAAGAAATTGATCCAACTCTCTAAGAATGAGAAAATGTTTAAGAAAGAAAGTATTACAAACGAAAATCCACATTTTTGGGCAGTGTCTCTTGAAGCAATTATAGGCCTAAAAACAATCTTCTATATTCACGAATATCTCAGAGACCATGGCCGAACAATAAAGTTAGCATTATTTTGGAAGAATTGATCACTTTGCAAGTGTAAACAAGGGGTAGTGCCCTTCATCCATCAGGTTGGGGGGGGGGGGGGGTTGGAACTCCACCAAATGATGCCTTAACGCGTGGTTACCTGTGAAAGAATGCAATTCAACACAACCCCAATTCTCACAAATGACCCAGGTGGAATGCCAACTTCCAAAGTCATTTCCGATGGCACGTGCGTCTACTGTAGATCTTGAATTACAGCCTTTGGCACTGAAGAGCTAACATCAACATCTTGAACAAACTGTGAGACCACAAAAAAGTTGAGACAGCCAAACGCTAGGGTGTCTCATTATTGTGGTGATGTTGGGGGTTTACTTTTTTCAAGTTTGGCCAGCTTTTATAGACCACTCATCGCTTGAATCCGACTTTCTGGGCATGTTAAGTAAACAGATTATAAACAAAACATAATAAACAAAGCAACCATTACCTCACTAATATTGTATTGATCAAATTGTCAATTTTTGCAGTAATATTTGGTCAAATGTGTAGTTCATTACTTATGATCCATTATTTTCATTCAGGGCAGGGCCGATTTACAGCTGCATAGCTGCGCCCCTCTCCTTTTTGAAGATGTTCGCATCGGTAACTGCTCGTTTGTTACCCTCGACTTTTAGCACAATTCCCGGTCTGTTGTGTCTGCGGTGACGCGACGTTGACCGAGCAAAGCAAAGTCTGGCACCCCAACTTGAAAATTTATCTGGATCCAATTTCGGAGAGGAGTCCACATTTTTTTTGGAACCAGCCACCACCTTTGATAAACATCCACCAAGCTTTCCAAAACAGAGTTCTGTTTTCAAAACAGAAATGGTAGAAGGCAAGAGTTTTCGTCGTGGGAAGAAGTTTTTTCCTCCGGAATTTATTGGTTAAAGGCTGCATGGAACGCGAGTGGCCAGAATCATGTTTGAAAACAACATATTGGGTTGGTTTGGTAACAATGTAAAATATTCCAGAATGAATTGGAAAACAGATTTTAAGGCGTGACAAAAGATAGCTCAAAAATATATACTGCACTTCATTTTTCAAGAACTGGACAGTAAAAATACGAGGTCCGGAGGGAAGGTAGTAACAGTGTTACCCAAGTGTCGTGATGTAAGTTTGACGTCACATCGTGAGCCGTGTTTTGATTGGCCAATTGCAAACGCTATTGAGGTTTATGGGAAACATCAAATTATATAAAATTTCAGAATGGAGAACTTTGTAAGGAGTTAACAGGTTAACTGTGATGCAATTTCATGGAGTGAAAATGAAGTGTCAGGTGACGATTTTGTTCCAGCAAACCAACTTGACATTTGATCCTTGACCAAAAGCAGATATCTTGACAGATATCAGTGTGTCACTCAACAGCCCATCAACCAAGCCTTACCCATGATTTGGGTGCAACTTGTGTTGATCTGAGAAGAAAGAAACAGCGCCGTTTTAAGGTCCTTCAACGCGGTGCGACTGATTACGGTCAGGCCTGGCGCCAACAAGTAAAAGATTTTCACGGAAACAGCTAGTCATTGGATCTGTTTGACACCAAAGTGAACTTTCCATAGCCACCATTGTTGGCCACTGTCGGGAAAACAAGGGAAAGCGAGTTGAGTGAGAAATCCAACACAGGGGAGTTTCAAAGTTTGCTGAGGATGGACCTATATCATCACCATCTTCACCATCATGAGGCTAGGCCCTCCCTGCTTCGCAGCATCCCGACACCAGCGGGTTACTCCTCGGGGTGCGGCCCGGCAATTAAGAGTGAACCCCGGGAGACCGTGGCAGCACTAGCACCGCTCGGTAAGTGCAACACTCGTAACAGCGACGGACCGGACGCTGAGCGCAGTTGCGGTACCAGCGTCATGGAGGATTTGACGGTCAAAGGAGGAAGCAAGGACACGGTAGTGAAGCAAGAGCCGGGCGACGGAGCGGACGATAAGCCGGACCCAGCAGACAAACCTCCGTACTCCTACGTTGCCTTGATCGCAATGGCCATCAAGGAGTCTCCGGACAGGCGTCGAACTCTCAGCCAAATCTACCAGTACATCATCAACAAGTTCCCGTACTACGAGAAGAACAAGAAAGGATGGCAGAACTCCATCAGACATAACCTGAGCCTCAACGAATGCTTCATCAAGATACCGAGGGAGGGCGGAGGGGAAAGGAAGGGGAACTTCTGGACTTTAGACCCGGCTTATGATGACATGTTTGAGAAGGGTAACTACAGAAGACGCCGCCGGATGAGACGGCCACACCGAAGCCTTGATCTTGCGATGCTGGACAAGCCTTATCTGAGCTCTGATCCACAGTACCCCTACCACTTGACAACAAAATACCTCCACCCTTCCTATACCAACTGGGGCATGGGACACCACCAACCGCCCGTCAGCCAGTCCCCTCCTCACTACACCTACACCTCTTGCCAGGTAGCTGCAGCAGCAGCGGCGGCCGCCGCGGCCAACACGCCCCGAGGAATGCCGCTCGGCCACGGCGTGGCTTCGCCTCAGCTCCCGGTGACCGTCCCAGCCGTGCAACCGAGTCACCACTACGGGCAGATCCACCACCAGCCAGTGGCGTTTCCCAGCCCCGTAGGATCGCCGTATTCGACGGGTGCCCAGGTGGCTCCAGTGCCCGCCATGGGGCCGGGAAGTCCCGGGCCGAATACCGGCGGTTTTGAAGACGGCGGGCTTGCTGTGAGTTTCTCGACATCATTTGCTAGTTACCACACACCATGCAGACGACAACCCGATGGACTGCCGTACTACTAAAGAGGAATACCTTTCGAGAAGTTCGCAAAGTAATCAAATGCTCGTTAAATATGAAAGAAAAGGAAAAGAAACCAGGTACCAAATTTTGCATTAAAACCAAAACGAAATGACGATTCTTTTCAATGATATGTACAACTAGCCTGGAAGTATCCATAGCAATGTTTTTGTAAAAAAAAATAATATGTTTTTCCCCTTTTTCCCCAAGAAACTCATTTGGTACGTGAAAAGTAATCCAAACATTCTCGAGAAGTAAATAAAAAGACTAACTCGCCTTTGGGATGTTTTTTTTATTTGATAAATAGGCCTAACATTTCGTGGTTTACAACTTTACAAATGTGTCCAATAGCATGACCCCTTAAACACATTTTAGGAAAAACACAGAAAGTGTCACACATTTAGGTCATTAAATTCATTGGGCATAATAGTTTATGAACAAAGCGGTTTGTTTGAAAATATTTATTCACAAAGTTGTGAATGCTTTTGAGCGGTTGAAAAACATCAGGAAATTCAAAATACCATCGACAAGTTGTTTAAATTTACTATTCCGGTTAGTATAAGGACGACAAACGCAGTATGGAGGTATGTGCATTGATTTTAACACTTGGTTGGGCATTAATCTTTGTTTGGTTTTACCGTTTTCTTGTATTTTGTTGAGTAGATGTTAGTTTTAAAATTATACAGGGTGGTGCAAAAAGAAGGAAACCCACTATTGACAGCAATTTTCACCTACTTGTTCAGCATATTTCAAAAATTCAATTTATTGGTATTAAAATATTGATATTTAACCATATATTTTTGACGGAAAAAAACAAGCGATTACAAATGCATTTTTTGTCTCTTTAAAAGTTTCATGACTGTGTCAAATCTGTTTGTCCACGGACGGCTTTATTCCATCCGCTTGACTGAGCTCCGGAGCTTGAATTGAAGACAAAAAAACACTGCACTAGACTTACACGTGGACAACAGTAATTTTGGTGACTTGTAGTATTCAAATTAACATAATAGCATTATTCTTGTGATTTTTTAAAAGACTTTTTCACCACGTATGGTTGAGGAGCTATACTTATACATTATTAAAAAAAGCAGCTCAAATAAGTTAAGTAAGTAGGTTAAAATTCCTGTCAAAAGTGGGTTTCCTTCTTGTTACACCGCCCAGTATAACGTTTTGGCCACTGAATGCGAAAAGGTAAAAGAACCTTATATGTTATAGCTACTTTAATGATGTGTGCCCCGTGCACTTCAAATTTTGTTTTCTCTCCTAAAGACTTATTTTAATTTGTTTGTTTTGATTCAACGGAAGTTTTTCTCCCCGATTTTGGGGCGTTTGCAGCCCTCTGATTAATGGCTTTCATTTTGCGCACCTTTGAAGTCACCATTAAGAGCTGAATGATTGTCCGGCAGACAATGATTCGAATATGTTAAGAACTAATTAAATATTAAACGTCGGTGGATTTTTTTCGTTCGATGTCTCATTCAAAAGTAAATATTGCCAGGAAAACAGCAATTTGAAAAACAAAATCTATATAGCACGGGGAATGCATTTTAAACCTATTTTGCTTCAAAGAAGGAAACCCACTTTTGACAGGAATTTTAACCTACTAACAGAACTTATTTCAATTTTTTTTGTATAATGTAGTGAAGTATAGCTCTTCAACCATACATGGTGGAAATATTTTTTTGAAAAATCACAAGAATAATGTTATTATGCTAATTTGAATACAAGTCACCAAAATCACTGTTGTCCACGTGTAAGTCTAGTGTAGTGTTTTGTCTTCAACTCAAGCTCCGGAGCTCAGTCAAGCAGATGGAATGAAGCCGTCCATGGACAAACAGGTTTGGCACATGAAATTGTTAAACTACATGTACCACATGTACCATTTTCAATAATTTTTTCGTCACTTATGTTTAAAGATCAATATTTTAATACCATTAAATGCATTGTTAAAATATGCTCAACAAGTAGGTGAAAATTGCTGTCAAAAGTGGGTTTCCCTCTTTTTGCACCACACTGTACACATTACAAGGCTATTCACTCATATATCACAAACCGATGATGCATTGTAACACTTAACAGTACACAAATAAATCTGACAAACTTGCTAATTGCTTAAAGATGTTTGATATGAAAACTATTAAAACATTATATCCTCTTGACGAAAAGATTAAACATAAAAGAATAAACTTTTATGGTAAAGCAACTTATCAACTGTAAGCACTTTTCCCGTTTTTTTATTGTAAATTCTTCATTATTTTCCATCGATTCGCAAGTATTTATCTCGGGAAATCCCCTACCTAAATGGATTTAAATAACTATATTATGCTATTACTGAAATTAGGATATATAAATACATTTATAATATTTTTCTTTAGCATGCGTGGAGATTTTGTAAAGAACCATTAATCAAAGTAGGCCTATGTTTGTCCAATTATTAGCACTTGTTTCATGAAAATCATTTTAATATGCATATAGCCTAATCGAATGTGTTTGAGTGGTTTGGCTCCAAGATATTGTGTTCGAATTTTTTTTTTTTAAAGATGTTTCTATCGAGTTTTATCGTATATGAACATTTGAAATGAGATTGATAATTTTTAGGTGAAATCTTGTTTTCATCAACATGGAAACAAAGGGATTTATCCCGATTTTTTTTAAGCCGTTCTATCACTGAAAGTTAATTTAAAGATTAAAGTTCAGGGCTTTCCGAAATTCCACTTTTAAATGCGAGATGGTATTTGCGGATTATTCCTGAATTTAGAAAACAAATTCCACTTCGGCTAATAACGGCAATCGGAACGATTATTGTTGACTGTCTGTGAACGACACGGTGTTACAACATGGCGCACTATCTGTTTCATGGACAGTACTTCCGCATAAAATACCCTTTGTCTTCGCAGCAGTGTGACTATTGTGTGCACATTGTATTGTCTAGTCAAATATCACATCACGAGCAATCCATTATTTTCTGTATAATAATTTAGTAAAAACTGCATAAATATTAACTGAAACATTCATTATATGTAGGATTAGTACAAAGCACTGACAGCCCAAACATTGTTGTTGACTTCGATTCACATTGAACATTTTGTACACAAGGAATACGCCCTATCTTTTTTATGACACTTTGGCACTTGATAATTCCTATGATTATTTTTAGCATTAAACACCAGTTGTCTATTGTATATTCTTGAAATCAGAATGATTCGATTCACATATCACTATCAGTACCATATTTTTGTAGACTTCTCTTATACATACTATGCGTTACAGTTGTATCTGTTTAGAATAGATCACACACGGAACGATATTGTTTTGAAATGTTGGCATATGTTAATAAATATCTAACTTCTTGGTTAATTTGTCACTTGTATACAAACTTGTGTGTAAAATTTGTTTCAAACGTTAGGGCACTGCCTCAGTTAAAGCATTGAAAAGTCATTACAAACACTGATGGATACTAAACATCCGTTATTGTAAAAGTTAACTTTCTATGTGATTTGGCCAAATTATATTGTATTTTGAAGTGGTATATGTTTTCCTGTTTTCAGCTTTGGTTTGTCTCGCCTATGGTAACAACAGTGTCCTGTGCATTATGTCTAATGCTTTATTTTCCTTTTGATTTGACGCAGTTTACTTGGCGTTGTGCCAAACTGCCCGGAAGTTTGCACTGTGTCGATTATTACGGTCTTTTTTTTTGGCATGGTTTCTCAAAATGCAGCTTGGACCATTAAAACACGAACAAAATTTACTCAAAATATGCACTTAAAGGCAAGTAGGATCATAGATTATGCATTTATCAGGCATGCAACTTTTCCTCGGATCAGCTGATTTCCTCTTTTTTTACTTCCCATGTGTGCCATTGAAAATAGAAAAACACTGTACAAAGTCTGGGAAAAATTTGAATTTCCTCTTTTTTTGGTGATTTCCCAGTTGCATGCCTGATTTATCCCCTAAGCAACCCACCGAATCATTACCAAAAAGCTCACTTTGATTAAACATCTTAAACCTGTATTTGTAAGTGAAATTATTTCGCCATTTAGAAGAATTCAAGAAATTAGGTGGTTCCAACGATCAGTCAATTTGATTTTTGCAAATAAAGAGTGCTATTGACGAAATGGTGTTTCGTGATCAAAAAGGTTATGCATTGTTTTCCACGTTTTCTCGAAAAGTGTAAAATCCACTGAGCTAGAAATTCAACAGGTTAGGTTTTAAACTTTCTTCTTTGGATTTTGAGTGGTGTAACACTGGAATCGTACAAAATGCATGAAAAGCAAATGAGCCTTTAGCACAACACTGTCTGATTCCCCAGCCGCGACCACGACCCAGCCTATTGATTTCATTACAGTCAAGTGTCAATCACCCAGCCCGCCAACACAGTCGATGTTTGCTTTCCGTCAAATTAGTGACACAACCATACCATCAACATGAATAATTAGGACCAAGGAACCGACGGGAGAGCGCCCCCTGCTGGTCAGTATGTCATCTCCCGTGACCACGGCGCGTGTTTGGGATACCAAAAGTTTGGCCAAGCCTTGATAACTGATAACTCACACGTAAATGGTCACTTTTGAAGTACTTAAGGATGTTCTTCATGACCTGCAACTGTCTTCAGATTTTGTCAAAGATTAAAGGCCATCTTGAGACTGATGATCAATGATTGTCGACAACAACGGCAGACCATGAAGCTATAAACATGTGTTTATAGCTCCATGGGCAGACTAACGATTTTAAAGGTCTGCAGTGTGGTGGAATAGCCTTTGGTCATAATTATCACATTTTGTCCAGATATACATTTTCTTACTGCATTTTAAAGAAAGCACAGAATAATTCCTGTCTGTTCGTTGTCTAGACTAGAGACACCGGCCGCCAATCACCGTGTTTGACAACAGACGCGTGCAGGGAGCGGCACCCCGCCGTGCATGACGGCCGAGCGACGGACGTACGGACCGGACGAAATGCAGTGCATTTTGGTCTGTCAATTTCAGTACCTTGTCACTTTAACGACATGAAAATGTCCATAGGAAAAGTTTTTTTTTTTTTAAAGGGTGCTCGAAAAGTAACTTCAAGAGTTGAAAACGTTGGTGTTCAAAGCACAATACTGTCAATAAGCCTACTTGTTTCTAAAAAAATACTTTTCGTTGGGAATTACACCTGAATTCATGAAAACATGGACAAACTTGTATGGTGCGGAAATGACGATGGAATGGTATAAAACCAGCTATCTAAGATTCACGAAGAATGGACTATCGTGTAGTTTAGGACACCTCTTATATCTGCTTATGTTTTACAAGTTCCGTTCATGAATCAAAACCCTGCCCTCTTTCCACAAATAAGCTAGCTGATATTCAACATGGTATCTTAGTGAACTATTTAGAAGATTCCAAACACATGAAGAGACTTTCCAGCTTGTATCATAGCCAAATGTTTAGGTATTAAGTCCTAAAACATAACAGTGTCTTTTCGTTCTCTTCTGTGAAACAATCTTGGAGGATTCCGTCATGGTGGAACGGGGTCCTGAACTACACGACTGCCTAAGAATAGCCTACTTTACCTTTAAACCCACGTTTTCAGCTGAAACTCCCTTTAATGCAGGTTTCATGACGAGCAAGCACGTGTCCCCGCCCTCTCACTAGATTCATTTTTCACCGTGAACAATTGTTGTGAGTTGTTGGCCAAAACAATCTCCACTTTTTAAAAATTGGCGGTTCAGTCGAGGTGACAAGGTCACGGAAACTTTGCAGACGAAATCGCTGGTGCTCGTTTAAATTATGTGCGCAGAATAAAAGGGAAGTGAAAACACGACAGGTACCCTGACGACATTAACGGAGATGTCTGTAAGTCCATCTAAGGTAACAGACCACACGCCAACCTTCTCAAGTAACCAATCAAGATGAAGAGATATTTTCTACAACAAATGCTAGCTGTTTGATTGGATGATTCAGTTTGTAATATACTTTTGTTACTTCACGTATGGGGGGATTTGTATGTTTTTAAATTTTTTTAGGAAAGGCTATATTTTTAAACGAAAATTAATTTCATATTCAGAAATCTGTTTTTAAGTTTGAATTTTGGTTTGGATATTGGCTTGTCAATAAGTAGTCCTTTATCGATTTTAAAACTTGCATTTTCTCTCTTTTCTCTTTTCTTTGTCACATTATCAATAAACCACGAAACTCCAAAATTGATAAAGTATTCGCGCCTACATACCAGGTTGTGACATTAAAGAAATATTTCTCCTTACAGGAAGAAAACATTTTCACAAAATTTCAAAACATCTCTCACAAGATCTGTCAAACAAGTTCTTTATCGGCTTGGTTTCCACAATCTAGATTCATTTTCTTTCGAGTGATCACAAAATGAGAAATTTGTTTTGAAACATTTCACTGTAACAAAATATTCGTGTGTAAATACCTGGAATAGTGCTCAAGGGAACGAACCAACATTAATGTTTGATTTATGTTATCCGAATGCTGTCAAGATCTCGGCTGTAACAGCACTGGAGTACATGCAGATCTGTTTCATTTGTTTTGTTCATAACCAATGAAACAAAAAAGACGAGGAAAAGTTGGTCCCTGGGCATACAAAATTCTGTCCCATTGATCCAGAACGGCTATTCACTGGAAGTCTTTTCATGCAACTGGTCAACATAATGGGCCGGATTCAGCCTTTTTATTGGTATTACAGGGTGAACCTATACAATAGCACTGCCCGGCTCTTTTCACCAGTGAGTCTCTACAACCAGTCTAATTCAAAAGTGACAGTCACTCAGTGAATCAAATTCAGTCTGTGTGATAGGTACCAGGCTGGCATTACTAAACCTGTGAATCGATTTACGAATAACAGCGGACATCTAAGATTTTGTTTGTATTTTCTTTTAATAATTGACATTTCAAACATTCTCAATTACATGATTAAAACAAAAATATCCATTTCATAGATGTTTGGTGGTGATTTCAAGCAGAAATACACCAATTAAAATGAAGCCTATAACCCTTGAAAAAAAAAAGAAAGAAAAAAAACATTTACTGTATTTTTTTAACCTTAAGCGGATACAGACAAAAAGCATTCTCTAAGATGATTTCCCCACGTAGCCTGGTCATATTTATCAATAGTACAAGCATATATATAGGTGTAACTCGTACTGATTTTCCCAATAGAGCTAAGCTACATTTAAGTTTATTTTCTTGTTTTAAATATTAAAAGATATCTTAGCCTTGCCTTAAACTTCAATGTTCCCTACTCATTTAAGTATTCAACAGAATAACACTGTGCCCTTTTTAACGTCTTATTTGACAGAAACTGCCTAGGAAAAAAAGATGGGTTGAACTGATCTTCATATTTTTAAGAGCTCCCTTAAATTTAGTAAAGGTAAAGGGGACGAACCTGTGTTCACAGGAACCTATCTCTGCCTATCTCTCTTTCGAAGCGATTGGGCCAGACTCATATATGATGCTGTGGGGGGATCGCCACACCTCCTCCACAGCGAGTCTGTTACCTTCCCAGCATTGAATAATGCCGGTACCCATTTAACACCTGGGTTGAGAGGAGTAATTGAGGTAAAGCGCCTTACTCAAGGGCACAACACGCATGGCCATGGCGGGGTTCGAACCCACAATCTCACGATCATGAATCCTATGCTCTACCGCTAGACCACACGTGCCTACATTTGGGGAAAGCTACGATACTTTTAAACCAAAGTAAAATACAATTTTTACGCATTTGTTTTCCAGTTCAAATTACTCCAAGTTAACAACAACCAGATGTGTTTCACAATGAGTAAGGAACATCAAATTTGAATGTCGGCATAGTAAAATGTACTGTACACGCAGGAACAACAAGATAATAGTATATCCAAATTGGGAATGTTCAACTTCATACCATGAGGACGACTCTCTTTGGGCATTGTGTATTGACAATTTTTTTATTCGCTTCTCACATTTTTTGAGGACAAAAACTCTTTCCTTATTTTAAATTTTTGGTAAAAGATTTTAGACGTCTTGAACTCGGATTTTACGACTTTTCAGAGCATTTTTGAAGGTATGGAAATGTATTCCTGTGCTAGACATACTTGAAACACATAAATCTTCCAAAGTTGTCATTAGGAAAACATTTTTTGACAAGCCAAACAGGAACAGACTCGATGCACTCCGCAATATCCCACATGGTTTTGGATGACTACTAACTGTTGTATTTACTAAGCATTATAAAGGAATCTATTTTTTCCTCTAGTCGTCTAAGAAGTCATCATCTAGATTGACGTCCCCCGCGTCGAGGTTATCGTCGATGTTCAAGTCATCTAGGTCAAGATCCAGGTCATCGTCAGGGGTGCTGGAGGGCGGGGCTTGGGTGGGCGGGGCCGTGGGTTTGGCCTCTGCTGGGGGTTGGCTTGTCGCTGCTGGCTCTGGTGATGGTTGGTCCTGCTCCGGTTCGACCATCGCTGGTTCATCCGGCGTCGCTTGGTCCTGAGAAATGTGGGAATAAAAAGGTAATTTCCAGTCTTAATAGACATGTTTTTGAGGGCACTGTAAAGACGGTAGGAACATCACATTTATTGAAGCAATTGAACAACTTTAAAAATTGTAAAAATGCAGTTTTCAAATAAATCAATATCTCAAGTTTGTCAATAACTTTTGATTCAAATCTGTTAAACCCCCCCCCCCCCTGCTAAAAAATATGGCCTGGTGTCCCGTATCATGTTGGATTTTTTCAAATCTCTCTCAAGATCAGTTTCATTCTTTAACCCAAGAACATTTACCCTCCTGCTGTTTGAACAGTCACAGACAGTCAAAAAAAATCCATCCTCTTCCCCTGCCATGCCTTTTACACAGGGTGTCATCAACTGTCAGATCATATTAGCAAACACTGTGACTAGTCAAATTCAGTCAACAAACAAATGCAGGCAAGTGGTAAGCACAGCTGGCTTATCAATCACCTACAGCCAGAGCACAGCTGCATCACGTTACATAAACAGTCACAGCCAGTCAATCCTGCTTTATGTAGGCTGGGAGCTCTTAACTGTTGCAAACAGTCACTTGATTGATTTTGACTGAAAGGACAACTTGGCACAGATTGTATGTTTGCATAAGAGGCTTAATGTTCAAAATCTGAACTTTAATGTTCCAGACTAACTAAAAAATGAAGGTAAGCCATTTCATCTTTCAAATAGAGATCGGGAAATAGAAATCTGGTGGGATAATTTATATATTCTGACCTGTGTGAATGTTCCACTTGCTGCCGCCTCTTCCATTTCTTCCAAGACCTCTCTTTCAGAGTTGCTCTGAATGAACCAAGATGCAAATAAGGAAAACCCATCAAAATTCAAGTTGCACTTCTATGTTCTTGCTGTTGTCTTTCTCAACCCCCCCCCCCATGGAAAAAAAAGAAAGAAAATTAAACACTAAAACCAGGATCAAAACATCTGGCAGTCAAACTTTGGTTTGCAAATGGTTGTAGATAAAAAATTACTTCCAATCAGTTAAGATTTGGGGAAATTATACTTTCTGGCCATGACTTACCGGGACCTTAGGGTACGCTCTGGCTGGGTAACTCTTCTTCGTAGCCTTGAGGTACTCCTCTCCCTTGAAGGCCTCCTTGAGACCCACAAACAGGTTCTCGTATTGAGTGGGGTCGGCTAACGCCTCCGCAGCCTTCTTGTTGACTTTACCCAGGCTTTCCTTCCACAGTGTCACAATCCTAGGAAGCAGTAATGAATGGTTAACCCATCAGCACCTGTACTTAAATTGTATTACATTGTATTACATTGTATTACATCGTATCTATTCCCTGAAGGATCCATCAAACCAAACAGTGCTGGAGTGGTTTAGGGAGTCAAAGGCAGGGCAGTTTGCAGCTGTATGGGGAATAATGGGTTAAGCATAAATTGCCGCTGAAAGAAATCAGTTTGGTAGAAATTTTTCTAGAAATCACCGGTTGATCCCAGTTTATGAGCTAATGTTTTTAGTCCATTAGTTGAACCGATTCATCAATGAATGTTGTTTTGACCAATCACAGTTGTGACAGGCATGTGTGAGTCTGGAACATAGTGTGGCATTGTAAAGAAGGCAGATATTGTTGCACGCATGCGCAGAAAACGAAAATACAACTAACACATTGACCTAGATAAAATTATTTGAACTTTCTCATGAGCAGAGGTTACGTTAAAAAACCAGACCAGGTTTGCCTAGTCTGGCCGGTCCTGAAAATCTCACTTGAGGACAAAATACCTAGTGTGAGTGAGTCAGTCAATCAGTCGGTCAGAGAACACAAGGCTGACCCTTCTGGGCCAGCAAAAATCTGACGATGTTGAAGCAAGCATTTGTCAATCTTGGTACTCACTCGGATATCTTGCTTGGCATGTAGGTCCTGGCAAAGAAAGCAGCTTCAGGGTAGCGACCGGACTTACACAGCAGTGCAAGGCACTCTTCAAGCCTAGAAATGACAATCATTAGTTGCAAGGTTTATAAGAAACCTGCTTATAGAAAAATGAATTTGATTGATAAGGGGACTGCATAAAGGCCCGTCTCAAATCATATTCGGGACGAGTTCCAGACAAGTTGCGGGTAGAAATCATTCACTTTGTCCAGAAGAAGCTCTTCGTTAGCAACTGCTTGACAAACCAATACTGATAACTTCAGCGGAAAGATTGCGGAGAAGTTGTTCAGAATCCTGCAACTTATACCCGATACAATGTTCACAACTTGCCGGAACTCGTCCCAGATATGAATTGTGACGGGCCCTAACCTGGGTTAATGAAAATACAATAAAATGTAACTGTTTTAACACAAAATGCTAGAGATCCTTTGAATGATATGCAAAAGAGTTTTTGCGACACAGCGAAGTTCCACGATGATACTAGGAAGTTATTTAAGTCCAAATATTTCCTGAGACAACAAAAAACAGACAGTGAACAGTGCATCAGTATCCATCAGAGTCCCAAAATCTCCTAAAGCCAAAGTCAGAGAAACCCAGGTTTCCCTAAAATTCTGCCGACTTCTCACAACATTTCTTCTTGGCTTACTTTCCCTGCATGAAGTAGGCCAGGAACCCAACGTTGTTCTTATCCTTCTCATTAGCGGTGTCGGCAAGCTTGCCGACCATGTCCGCATTACCGGAGCAGCTAGCCAATAGGAGAAGACCCCCATAGTCCTGGGCCTTGTGTAAGCATTCCTGGGCAAGACGGAACTCACACTTGGCTGTCGCTAGCTCGGCCAGTTGTTTCCATTTGGTTTCGACCTGTGACAGCAAAAGACAAAGACTTGAGAGGTCAACATGCCAACATATTTTTGCATTCTATTATCTACTAGCTGACTGATTTTTACTTGCTCACTTATCTGAAGTGATTCAAACAAGTGACTCACTTCATATAGCTCCTCTTTGAAAACAAATTGGGCTTATAGGTCCTTAGTGGGAAAAAATTCCTAAAAGTATAGAAATTATACAAATTTGGCCAAAATTTTAAAATAAAACTGTGGAGAACAAAAATACTCTTAACATAATAAAAAGTGTGCAAAATCACTGTAAGAAACAATAATGAACCAATGAGATACCTCCATCAATGAAATAATCCAAGAATTCTTAGTTAAAAAAAATAAAGAGATTTGTGCGGTGTTATAGTGTGTTGAATACAATTAAATATCATCATGACATACCTCTGACTCCATAGCCAAGTCATAAGCTGTCTTCAACTCTCCCAGTTGTAACGCCAACTCGAACCGATGCTCGGGATCACACGACACGGCCAGCGCCTGCGACTTGAAGCCCTGTTTCTCCAGGAAGTGAGCCACCCGGGTACGCTGCTCCCGAGGCACCGTTGGGAGGACCTTATCCGCAGTCTCAAAGTCTCGTCTCATGACGGCCGTCTGGTACTCCAGGACCGATAGGAGGATGGAGTAACTGACGATGTTGAGCTCCTTGTCGCCAAGGTAGAGGCGGTTGTCCTTGGCGATGTAACCAAGGAGATACATCACTCTGTGAACAAACAAAAAAAGAGAAATCTTTTGAAAGCTCCAAATACATACAGTTGTTACGTTATTTTTTCAGCAAAATGATGCAGATAAATTGCAAGCATAAAAGAGTAAAAGTTTAAAGCACTTCAATATTTTGATAAAGATGATGCCCTACATTTATTGCATGGACATTACTAGAGTGTCAAATAGCCACACTCTCCATCTAAGAAATGCCTATCTAAGCCTCTGGTAAGCAAATGAGCACCTTCCAAAACACTCCTTTTGGAGGCTTTTCTTATTTGGTTTTGCATCTGGCAAAACACTCCATGATGTTATTAATATTTCTGATAATGAAACCAAGGATTCCTCAAAAGTGCCCTAGGCACTGTAGCTCGCAAGCCTGAAGAAACCTGTAGAGAGAAGACAATGAGAAGAAATTACAGTTTTAGAGGTGGGAGGAAAACCCCAGAAGAATACTCTGGGGGAAACCCACGGAATCAGGTAGGGATGCAAGAGCCAATCCACATGTGGACCAGGGCAAGAATTGAACCCGGGCCATAGAGGTGGAAGGCGAGAAAATAAACAACTGTGGCAACCTAACTTTCCTAGTTAAGTATACGAGCATGACCATCATAAAGAGCAAAGCTTAAAATAACATGCCAGTCCACCCACCTGTCCAGATGTGAGATGGTGACGATCTCGCCTCCTACGTAGTAGTTGAGTCTGTTGAGCGAGTTGGTGTAGATGAAGCAATCACCCACCCATAAACCTGTCTTGACTATCTCTTCTATCTCTCCGACAACCTGTTAAACAAAAAAGAAATCACTTAGTGTCAAATCATCAGAAATCCCATCCTAGGAAATTTGGATAAGCCGTGCTAAGTTTGACCAAGCTACCGTGGTGATGTGACCGAAGTCGTGATCTGATAGGGCGGCGCAGCATTACGTCAGGATCATCCGAGCTGATGAAAACATCTCTTCATTAGCATATGTGTTTTCATTGGTCGCTGTGTGTTAACATTCAGCACTCCAAACTCAAGAACCATTCAGTTTTGTGAAAATGGGTCTGGGAACCAGATAATGAGATTTCAGAAGTTCCTGGATGTCCGGGCCAACCTACTGGTTAACGCTCATTGTTTGACTGACAGTTGGGAAGGGTCCGTGATCATCATGAACTCACCTCAAAAGCTTCTTCGATTCCGTCTTCCGTTATTCCTTCGTTGGATTCTTGTGCCTTGGCCACGGCCTCCGTGCTGAATTTCAGGATGAAGTACGACTCATCCGTTGCTATGCAGACGAGATCACCACTATCTGACCAGTAAACCTGACAAAAAAGAGGTCAATGAATAAAAATCAGCATAACGGTGACCAATACGAGTCAGAAACTGAGGCCTAGTGGTTAGGGTCCAAGACTCTTGATCAGAGGGTCAGGGGTTTGAATCCAGCTGATCGTACTATATAGTGTCCTTGGGCAAGCCACTTTACCCCACTTGCCCCTCTCCACCCAGGAGCATAAATGGGTACCAGCATTAGCTGGGGAGTAACCTTCGATGGACTGGCATCCCATCCAGGGGGAGTAGAAATATTCCCAGTTGTTTTTCACGCCACTGAAACCGGAGATAAACTCATTGCCTTGTGACAGATTTTACTACTAGTCAGAAATGAACAGAAATTTTCAAGAATCAATTTGTTGGTTCTCTCAATTGCTGTGGAAACAAACCTTTTATTTCTTCCCTAATTATTCCATAAAACCATATAGTGCTAGGGCGGTTTAAGGCGGTACAGGGCAAAACTGGACTAATGAGTCGATAATTCAGGGACAACTTTATAATCTCTATATCTATTTATCTCAGAGCTTGACATGTATTACTTTGACTGGCTTGTGGGCAATTTCTAAGAAACGATGGGGTCCTACCTGTCTTGGAATGATCTCAATTCTTCGGACGAGTTCCGTGGAGTCCCAGTCATAGAATGCCAGACCACTGCTTGAACGAACACCCAGCAGGTTTCCTCCACAAATACCTGCATAAATTAAAATAAATTTGAATTATTTATACCAAATTTGCATGGAATTTTTTAGGCACTTTTTTTCAAATTTATTCAAGGGCATTCCTTTCTTCTGTCACTCATCACGTGAAGTAACAAAATAATTTTAAACCTTACCCTCTGCACCAAACTCTGGCTTGAAAGATTTCTTCTCCTTGAAGTTCTTGAAGATCTTCACCAGAGTGTTGCTCTCGCGGGTTGCATACCTACAGAGACCAGATAAATCATCATTATAAGGAACCTTTGGTAGACTGAAAACGTTTGCAAACTTTGAAAAGCATCACCTTCAACTACCGCCTTCTAGGTACACTCTCTTAACCTGGGATCGCACATCGGACATTAATCATCTCTGTGATTGGTTGAAATACCAGGGGCGGGGCTTACGGACAGCATATTAACTTACTCGGATGAATCATGTGACCAGACAAACTCCAGCGCTGATCCAAAGCTCTTATTACGGAGCGCCATAGCCGTGTAGATGATGTACTCCCCATCACCACAAACCACCACGAACCTGGAAATATAAAATCATGCCAACATTTGGATCAATTCTTTTCATGTGTTTTATTTGTTTCCAATAATAACACCACTCAAAATCCAAAGAACATTCAAAACATTTTTTTGTTGAACTTTCAGCTCAGTGGATATTACACTTTACGAAAAAACAGTAAAAACCACGCACAACCTCATCATGATGAATCACAACTTTGTCACTAGCACTCTTCATTTCCAAAAATCAGTCAATTGACTGATCGTTGGAAATCACCTACATTTCTTGATTTTCTTCTAAATGACAGCAAGCCAGACAGAATAATTTCACAGGGTGTTTAGTACCAGGACGATCTTTAATCCAAGTAAGCTTTTCTTATGATAACCTGGTAGATTATTTTTTTGATAAATGCAAATGATCCTATGTGCCTTTAAATCTCATTAACCCTAGCGCCTTGGGCCCTTTCCTAGGTTCTACATCAATCTTCCAAAAACTAACACTGTGTGATAAACCAAAGGCACATTATTTGTACGTGAACAAAATGAACGTCAATCACACAATGCACATTGACTAATCAGATCACAGCTTTTGGTCAGGTGACCACTAGAGCTTTCAAGTCAAACATGGATACCAACACTGTGAGAAGGGTCCACAAATCAGAGGTGGGCGGGGCTCATGCACAATTCCGGAATGGTTCATTGCAATATCTAGCCTCATGTTAAGTAACAGCTTATGGGCCCAGTAAAATAATGAATCCTTTAAAATCGAGCACAGCCAGCTGTTAAATTTTGAAGATGTCGGATGATGGTTAGGTTGAGTTAAGATTGTGAAAACTCTGATTGAAATCAAAGCTGTCAGCTTTGTTGAGCTGCATTTCTTTACCTGCCGTTGGGGTTGTGGCAGACTGTTTGTGGGAAGACATCACAGCTGCCCATGTCTTTGATGGCTAGGGGTAAACGCTCCCCATCCTTGATTTCCAAGTCTGGTATAAAAAGAGAACGATGAAAGGTTACAAACTGGCACTCACTGAATCACAACTAAAAAGAACTTCTTCCTATACTACCATTATTTTCTGCCTAACAATCGTTTAGATATCTGCTTTGTTCTTTGATTTTACAAGTTTCACTTTCAAGATGTTGACCTGAATATTGTTGCTTAATATTCAACTATTGCAGTCCTTCTGATTTGAGGCGTGCGATCGCACCCCCACACCATCGCACACCTAAAAGCTTCCCGAGAAGTGTGAATAATTGCACGCCTGAATTTCCCTGGACCACAGATCATACACCTAGAAAACCAAACGCCTAGAAAATCACACACCTAGAAAAAACACACGCCTAGAAAAATCCAGGTGTGCCTTTTTCCACACGCCTGTGATTTTCAAATCAGAAGAACTGCTATTGGGAACAGTCAACTTTCATTATAATACAAAAACTGTTAATACAAATTCTGGTTATGACAAACATAAAGCCTTGGTCCCAAATTTGCTTTATGTGCACAATGAATGGGACCGTTGACGTTCCTCTTTAATACAAAATTCTGATATAACAAACAGTTTGGCTAGGTCCAGCTGACTTTGTTCTAACGAAAGTCGACTGTACAGATAAGTAAACAACAAGGTTTCCAAAAGCCAGTTTATAACAAATGCACGTTGCATTTGGTTATTGAAATAGGACTTGAAATACAAAATAACTGGACAAAGTGGCATACATTTTCCTCTGCCGAACAATTAAACACAGCAGACTGAATGGACTACATTTTTGCTATGGGCTCCGAGCACAAGTACCCCCTCAACGGTAAGAAAGGGAGAGTTAGGGAGGCCACTAGGAGAGACATTCGTACACATTGCCGATGAGGCCTGACGCTCACATTCAGAAAAAAAAACTATTCATGCATACTTCGCATCATACGTGAGCGAACCAGTAGGCGTACGCATTGTGTCTCATCCATGGGATGTTGCAAGTGGTCAAAAAGCGCCCTCTCTCGTTGACGCACCAAGCCCATTGGGCTGAACAACCACTGCGCGCTGAGTATTACCTCCCATGGTCTTGAGGTTAGCCTGTTGTATCTCAGCATGCTTGGCCCACATGATCTTGCCGCTGGAGTCCATGGACATGGCTGGCTCCTCACGACCAAGCTGTGGAAATACAAACACAACAATTTAGCACCAACACTGAATTTTAATTAACATTCCCTTAACCCTCTGAGCAGCGAAGTGGTGATTTGATTCTCCACATTTTCCAAATATGGGCATAATTTTTTTTTTCAATGGGCCAATAAGGCCAAGCTTCCATGTAATCCTCACCCCTACTATACACCACAAGCCTGTAGACTCCCATTGGCCAGACCCTAGCCATTCCGGAGTAAGGAGTGGTGAAAGACAGAAGCAAAGATGGCGCCTAATGCCTTTGTGCAGTATTTGGAGATCTTAGGTGCCGCCGATCCCTTTGTGTCAACCCCTCGTGCCGCCCAGAGCTCAGACAGGTTGTAAACAATCCCTGGCCATGTGAATGACCTATATCTTGTGCATGTACAGGCATGCCAGGGTTATTGACCTATAAACACGTGGTGATAAAATTCTCCATGTGGGTCCACAGTGTGATTTTTTTTATATAAGCTGCTCGGAGGGTTAACCCTAACAGAACTCAACCCATCAAACCCCAACGGCATGTTTTGTTGGAATCTGTCAGGATGGGTACAGTACCCCTAAACTGACATTCTTTGACATTGGGTTGGCACACCTCCAGAAATCAAAGTCAGAAATATGTGTGTACAGTTTCCCATATGGTGTTGGAATTTGCCAGGATGGGTATGGTTCCTAGTAAATCATGCTAGGGAGTTAAGGTTAATCTGCTCAAATTCATCCAAACCTCCATGTGAAGTTTGAAGGATCTAGCAAGGTTTTGGTTATATGTTAGAACAAAGTGACGTTCATGAAAGTGAAAGGTCTCCAAAAGCACTCATTTCTGTAGTGTAACACAGGCGTCACATACATAGTGTAAACTCTTACTTCAGTTTACAATTTTTTTTAATGAACTTTGCCTTTTAGTTGTTAATCCCTTGGCATGATATGCATTATTTAAAATCTGGAAAATGTTCCAGTTGCAAATATAAACAGGCAAGACGGGCCACTCACTGTTAGAAAATAAGAACAACTAACAGTAAAAACTTCATAAGTGCGACAACTCAGTTCACAAAATAAACAGTTATCATTTTTTACTATAAATACAAGATTCATGAAGTATAACAAGTTTAAATAATGAAAGGTTTGCGGAAACACCATGTGCGAATAATTTCTCAACTAAGAGAATGGTTCTGAAAAGAACCAGAGGTATTAACTCGACATTCCGGTCAGTATGCTCTGACCGTCTTCAGAGCATAGACGGTCAGGGAAGACGGTCAGAGCATACTGACCGGAACGTCGAGTTTATACCTCTGGTTCTTTTCAGAACCATTCTCTTAGTTGAGAAATTATTCGCACATGGTGTTTCCACAAACCTTTCATTATTTAGTATCTCCACCATGCAAAGCTTCAAATCTTACTTATAACAAGTTTACCATATTTACTAACAAAAATTTAATATTCCTACAAGGATACGTTGACAGCAGAGAAAAGAAAAATGATTTTTGTTCTCTTTTCATGCTTACCTTGATGATGATGCTTCCTTCATCGTAACCCAGCGCTATGTTGTTGCTTCCTTTCATGTTGGCTATAGCCCACACCCTTTCCATTCCGTAATTCAGCGTTGTCTCCAGACGGTATGTGTTTGCATGCCAGATACGCACAGTCCCTGAACAAAAAACCAAAATCAAATGTCAGTTCACAAATCAGCACATTAAATATTGCTTATAATCAAATAAATCATAACTTGCTTAAGAAAGTAGAAAAAATGAAATTAGTCAAATAACCAAATGGATCAATGTTTACTTTATATTCTTTTGGGTAAGGGCCAATCTCGATTCCTATCCACGCCGAGTTCCAGACAAGTTGTGGGTAGAATCATTCACTTTGTCCGGAAGAAGCTCTGCATTTGTCCCGGACATGTTCCGGGGAAATTTTCATTAGCAACTGCTTGATAGCCAATACTGATAACTTCAATGCGAGAAGATTGCGGGGAAATTGTTCAGAATCCTGGGCTCAATTTCACAGCGCTGCTTAACAGTTAGCAGAAAAGTTGTGTTAAGCATAGCAAAATTTGCTAACCTTAAGCACTATTTCACGGCGTGTGTGTGCTAACGGTCGCGCATGCATGGAGATTTCTATTGTTACGTCACTAAGTTAAGCAAATTTTCCTCTGAGGTAAGCATGCCTTTTGCTGTGCTTATGCTTACGGTCTCCGTGAAGTAGATGGCGGCTCTGTTAGCAGAAAATCGTGTGCTTACCAGCGCCGTGAAATTGGGCCCTGCAACTTAGATTCGATGCAACTTATCTTGTCTTGCAAGTTGTCTGCAAGTTGTCTGGAACTCATCCCAGATACGAATTGAAACGGGCCCTAAAGAAACCAATGACTCCTCGAGTAAAGTTCAGTTGAAAAGGAGGGAGGAAACCTTGAAATGATACCACCAGCCAAAATCTCACAGAATCAAGAAGGGACTAACCACCCAATCCACATGTTGGCCTGGGATGGATTCGAACCTCGTACACAGACTTGGAAGGTGAGCAAATTACCGCTACACCCACCAACCTGACTCCCTTCAAATGTTGAGTATTTGGAGAAATAAAATCTACAAGTTCTCACCATCTTCCGATCCAGTCATGATGATGGGAAGCTCTGGGTGGTAGCTGACGCAGGAGATATTCTGGGCGTGGCCCTCCAGCGTCTGGACGCAAGTCTTGTTCTGTTCAAAATATAAACACGGAAACGTTAACAAGATGACCAAAGGTGCAATGTTCGTCCTTAGTCTATAATCTAGACACAATTCAGTTTTTTACTTCTACATCTCCTCGGTATGAATGATGTTCTGTTAATATTGTTTTGAACATTTGTTAGCACAGAGACACATTCTCACGCTTGACCTCTATAATTTACCTCCTTGTAAGAACTTTTCTAATTTTCCAAATTGCTTCCAAGTTTTTCTTAATTTCCAAATTTGCTCTTCTCTGCAGGACTCTAATGCTTCAGTTGTGTATTTTAAAAAGCATCAAACCCCACATAATTCACCCTCCTGGTAGGAAGCCAATATTCAGGTCAGTTTCAGGCGAAGGGATATGAAGTGTTAAAGTCACTGTGTCACCAGAGAGTCACTGTGGAGAGCAGTGAAGCGTGAGTGTGTCTGTCTGCTTGCCCTGAGCTTAACCACACAAAAGAATCGACCTATCGCGGTAGAATCGCGTCAATGCAGCTGGTGAAATATTGTCCAATTACATTATACATACAAATGGACGCAGAACGCGCAACATCTGAGACAAACAAAACTAAGTGAACAAAATTCCATAAGGTTGTCTAAGGGGCGTGGTTAACTCGCAAACGGCGATAGGTCAATTGTGTAGGGATTTGAAGTTTTTCCATACTCCACAGAAGATTACATCAAAGGAATTTGAAGTGTGGGTGCTAACTCTATGGGGAAAAGTGGTTTTGCAAAATTTGAGAAGTTGAGAAGTACAAAAGACCAGGAGGGTTAATACAAGCTGTGCTATCTATCTTCCTCAACCCTACAAAATCCTTCAACATTTCCTGGTGGATTTCGAAGGATCTAGAGGGATTAGGATTCATTTGTTTGAATCTTACCTGATAATCCCATATCTTGACCAGCCTGTCATCGGCCCCAGACACCAAGTAGGGCTTATCCCCTCCGCAGTAATAATCCACACAGTTCACCCCCTTCTCGTGACCCTCCAGGGTGAAGTTGGGGGTGCTGGACCCAAGCTGCCACACCTGTTACAAGAAATGGTTCGGTCCAATTTTTCAGGTTTAACATCAATTTTTTTTAGTACTTTCCAAGGGTCATTTTTTGAATGGATAAGTTCCGTGTTATTTACTCGCCTTTACTTTTTCAGTATTTCAAAAACAATCTTATGCCATATTTCACACAAAACATCAATTTGTATTTTTTTATGAAAAAAAAACGGGTCCAATTTCTTGAAACTGCAAAGTGGAAAATATCACGTAGTAAATTTGTGTGCCTTGTGAAACTGTTCCAAGAAGCAGTCAGAAGAAACTGTTCTAAGAAGCAGTCAGAAGAATTATACGAGGATGTAAGAGGGTTCTGACATTCTCTCAGGAAGTTTGAGGTACAAAAACGAGTTTACATGGCACTGGATATAAAATCTGCAAATGAAAACAAAAGAAATGCAGAAATATTGCAATCGCTGGAGGACTTATATCCCTTAACCCTTACTCCCTAGGCATTTTTGCTAGGATGCAACCTCAATCCTGCAAAATCCTCCAACTGCCTCCATTTAAAAATAGCACACAGCCTCAATCCTGCAAAATCCTGTTGTTTCTTGACTATGGTCCTTGGAGGCGTGACAACTGCCTCAATCCTGCAAAATCCTCCAGCAATCACTGTCAATATGTTGAGGCAGAGCCAGTGACATCCTAGAGCAGTGCGGAGGATTTCAAGTATAATCTAGGCTTATGCTGAGCACAAACACAAGGTCCGGCCTAAGTGCATTCTCCAAAATCAGCCACACATTTTTGCCACATAGCCTCAATCCTGCAAAATGCTCCATTTTGCAAAGAGGATTTTGGAGGATTTGGGAAGGTTAGGGTTAATATAATTTACTTGACATTTTTATCAGTGACCTGTTTTACAAAGTAAATATCTTCGGCCCTCAGCTTACTAGCCCCACAAAATTTCCCCTTCAAGGCACCTTCGTAAGTCTAAAAGAATTTTTCTGTAAGAATTTGAAGATATAAGTATGAACCTAGAAACAGATCCTTACCTTGACTGTTCTATCAAGTGAAGCGCTGGCAAAGGTGTTGTTGTCCTTAGGATTGATAATAATCTGCATGACGTAGTGAGTGTGGCCGTCAAAAACCTGGGCACAATTCCACTTCTTGTCCCAATCCCACAGCTTGATCAACATGTCATCTGTAAAACAAACCGAAAATGGGTTTCGGTTTGATCAATGCTTAGAATCAGGAGATGAACATTTCTTGAGAAACTGCATTATAAGCAGGAACCTGTCATTAGAACTGTTTTCGGGAAATTCCGTAAAATCCAATTCTCTGTGTAAGTCCGACCACATGATGTACAAGGTCGTTAAGGTGGCAGTACCTTAGTTTGGTCTGTAATTGTTTTCTACTCATTAGATGTCACATCATTAGTGATGTATCACATTCACTTTTCCAGCAGCAGCTCATTAAAGTGTCTGACATGTACGTCCAAATTTATGGAATTGCCCTTCAGAAAATATGTGTGCTTTGTAACTTGCTTTAAGCAGTTGGTCTGAAAGATGACAAAAATGCACGATACCAAAACGGATACCATTTCCGTTTCAAGAGATAACTGATATACATTGTATAAGAATCAATTCTGATTCTCCTTTTCAATCAGCAACAAATTTTTGAAAAAAGTGTTTTGAATTTTCCAAGCCTGTTGCATTTTCCATACATTGAGCAGTGTTTCCCTAAGAGAGTTATATTATAAATTTAGGGTCCAAAGTGTGACATTTTTCCCGTCCCTGTTACCTTGGTACTTTGTAATTGGCCATTCAGGTATCATTAAGAATGACTTCAAATGATTTTTTTAATTTGTTGCGTAGGTAGTTTGCTATTCATAATCACTCTTGGAGGACGACTGCATTAAGGAGTGCATCAAAATTATAAAAATCATTAAAATTTACCCCAAATTTACAGAATGAACAAAGTCCAAAAGATCACTTATTGGTTAGCTATAAATCCACTCTTGCTTTTGTTGGACCTGAAGGGCAAGCCTATAGACCTTTATCATGCTGCCACCATTTCAGCCATGTTCCCTGTATCCAATAACAGTACTGAATGATAATATTTTTTGTGCAAAAAGGAACCAGACTATTTTTCCTCCCAGCCCCGCTTTGGTTACGTTGATTTGAATGGGAAAAATCAAGAATGCCGCAACATGATAATGGTCTATCGTCCTCTGGCTGAGTCACCGACTGACCGAGTCACTGAGTATATAAAGTGGGCGTTTTGGCTCCGACAACAACCATGGCATTGTTGGATTGGAATTTTTTATATGAAACATAGCTGGCTGAAGAAGTCTAACAATTGTGTGAATTGATGTCAAGTCTTCATTTCTTTCTTGGAACAGCGCAATATGAGTTGACTTACCACTGCTTGTGAGTATGTACGGCTGGGTTGGATGGACACAGATAGACCTGATGTAATCAGAATGAGCCTCAAAGACGTGCACTCGCTCCAAGGTGTTGTAGTTGAAGACCCTGATCTGCATATCATCCTGAAAATCAAATAAAATTACATTCAACCCACGTTAAAATGTGTGATTCATATTGGTGTGTTTTTGATGAATTATATAATATTGTTATTTAAGATTCTGTCGATCATAATTAATTCCTAACCCTGCCAGACGCAGCACAGCGCATCAGGTGAAAAAGTCTGGTGCACTTTGATGCAATTGGCTATCAACACCAGTGCATGAATGGCCAGCTCTGAAACAATGAGAGCTAGTCCCATAGACCAATGCCACAGTTGTATCCTGCTGCATTCCCTGGACCACCGACTCTGAGGCAGTGTGGCCTTGAGACTTTTGACCTGATAGATCTTGCTACACTGGGCAGGCTTGTCACTTAGACAAGTGTTGCATGTTGCTGCGTTTGGCAGGGTTTCTAGCCAAAATACCCTGGAGGGTTAGGGTTAAGGTGTTTGGAGGAAAAGCTGTGTAATGAACTCTTTTTTTTAAATGAAGGAACTTTGGACGACACTCAAAAATCACAAAAGGACAGAATTTTCAAGATTACTGTGAACATTTGAGAACTTACAAATATATTCAGCAACTGTAAAAGTAATTTTACAATTTAGGCCATCCAAAAAGATTGAAAAGCAAAAACTTTTTCAATTTTCAAGATAAATAATGCTGTACTTACCGAACCAGCAACAACCCAGTTCTTGCGTGGGACGAATCTTGCTGCTCGGACGGGCAAGTCACAAACTTCAAACGACTTGACCAGGGTCTGTATTAAAAAATACAGCAAAATCAGATGTCAACTCGCTAAACTCACATTACTGGTCTGGTGGAAACTGGATGAATTCATGTGACCTTTGTATGACTTTATTATGACCTTTGACCCTTTACTGACCTGGGATTCGTGGTTCCAGACGTGAACGTTTCCATTGTACAAGCTAGCCAGCATCCATGGCTCGGTTGGGTGAAGGTCAACACTCTTGACACGGTCTGACCGTGCCGACAGTCTGCGCTGAAAGTGAAACAAATTCAACCAAAACAAAAATTAGCAAATGAAGATGAATGTTTCATCGACGATTCTTGTTGATATTCCAGATATTTCAGTTAGACAACTCTAAGTTCAAGATACACATGAGATGGCCTATGCACGGCGTTATAAAATGCTCACTTACATATTCACAACTGCATTATAAATGACAAACAGATGCACTTTCTTACCTTTATATCAAGTCTGAGAGGCTGAAAGAAAAGAAAAACAGACAAATTTTAAAATGTTTACAATTGTTTACAGCCTTTCTTCAAGTTTCTTGACATCTAAAACTTTCCACTCAGAGACAGAGTCAGAGACAAGAGTGTTCAGGTTCAAAATGAATAAATACATGAAACAACAATCACGACAATGTCACTGGCATGACTGGACAGCTGAATATGTTTTCAATTATTTTATGCAGTTGCCAAATCTGATATTTGGATGAAGGTTGTGCGATTGGTCGATCGCACCGCCATCAGTCGATCCCCTTTCCTTTCGATTTCATGGCTCTGGATTGGAGCGTGGAAGATTGCATTGAAAGAAACTGAATAAGGGAAGTATTATTTCTACAGCAGTAGGGGGCTGGCGCCTACAGCTCACAGGATTGACGGAACACACAAACTTTTCTAAATGATCAAGCAATCGCACAGATTCACCGACATGACCGATTGATCGTGCCCAACATACAGACATGTATACCAAAAAGGGAAAGAATGCAGTATCCAGATATGCCACTTCTTTTGGTTGTGTACAAATTCTATGAAGAGTCGAGTGTATTTTCAAAGTATTTTTGAACAAAATTCGAAACATTTCTCAGTCCCAGCTTCATATCTTTTCAACATTTTTGCAATTACTGACCCACATCGACCCACGACCCACAACCCGACGCCACTTCAGAGGCTGTGTACAAAGTTTATGGAGAGTCAAGAAAATTTCCGACTAACGAGTAACGTTAAGTATTTCCTAACAAAATTGGAAATGTTTCTCAGTCCAAGATTCATGTCACCATCATGTTGCAATGACTGACCTTCATTGAGATGATATATGAAGAAAAAAAGTGGCGTCAGGTTGTAACTTGTAACATTTTTTTCCTTAAATAGATCCATATTCACACATTTCAATGCTTCAGATATAGTGTCGGAAATACACGCATTTCACAAGCATTGGGTGCTTTAAATGTTATTCTTCCGCATCAAACCTCAAACTTCCTATCATCAATCAATTAAATAATTATAAAGATAGGCTTCAAAATATAAAACAACTTATAGCCTACATAACCAAGCTGTACACAAGTTTTGGAACGCAAAAAATTGTCAAAACCGGCATTTTCATCGCATTTAAAAGTAGTTTTCTCTCACCATCGTGGACCACCGGGCGACGTGTTGGTTGAACTGACGTGTCAAATCTCGCAGCAAATCTCGGATATTTTCGTGATCTCAGAGGTGGAGCATTCCATTTTTTGAAAGGTGTTACTGGTATTATTATAAATAGCTAGTTAGGTATTTTTTTTCACTAAAAAATTATTAAAAAACAAAAAAACAAAATTTAATGATAGAAATATTATTTTGTGCAAGAAATTATCATACAAGTTGGCCATGAAAAAGAATTTTGATGTTCATTTTATGTTTTCTCCCCTAATGTGTCGATTCTCCTGGTCCAAAACAATCGTCCGCCATTTTCGAGTTACATTCCAACTTGTGAAATTGTGTTGTAGACGACGGCGTTGAATTCTTGGAAAATTGTAAGTATTTTAACTTTGAATGATTACGAATTTTTGACATAGGTTTCGAGTTCCAATCGACTCTTCTTTTGGTGCTTACAGTCGCGACTTATACCCGAAGAAATGGTTTATAATGGACAGTAATGGAAGGGTTAATTCTGAGTGATTGTGCACTGGGCACCAGACTGTTTCAACAATGTTACTGATTTCTGTGATAGACGTCAGGGAATATGGCGGGGAATACAGACGAATTTTTGTAGGGCGAATCTTTTTTGCCCAACTCAGCACAATAAGCGTTATATTTTGATTTGTTTCAGTACTTATATCAACCAGATCTTATTCATGTTATTATTGAAGTAATGAAACACAAAAATGGAGAATTTACTGAACAAGACACCTTTGCCAATCTGTTTTGTTTGAAATTCTATTTTGATAGATTTACTAATTTAATCATAGGCTTACGAAATAATTATGTTATTATATTGTGACTAACTGGAAAAATTCTGCCAACCGGACACCACTTTTTTCAATTAATTTTCTAGCGCCAAAAGTTACCTCTTTTATGGTTATTCCCTCCACTTTCCCTCCTCTACTCTCACCGCCTCCTTTCCTTAATTTCTATTTATCAATCAGTCTCTCACTTCATTGAGATTCGAACCTCGGACGCTTGCTTGATACACGAGTCTCTTAACCGCTAGGCCGCGCACGATCGCTGTTGCAATGATCAATCTTTGGACGTATTTGAAGTATCCATTGAAATAAACTAAATATTCATGAGAAAATAAATATTCATAATGACGTATTGCACTATCATTGGCCGGCTCATGCGACGTCTCATGCGACGTCATGGTTATCGATGTCATGCGTATAACGTACCGCTGTTCCAGACACTTCAATCAGTTTTGACCGGCTGCTTCAACTCAGATCTGCACTACATGTGCATGCAAAATGTGCTAAAAAAACACATTTTTACCAATTTTTTTTCGCATGTCCACTCTTTCCTGGATTCCTCTTGGTTGAAATCACAAGGTAAGGTGAACATTTGGATGTTTGGCGGCAGGTAAGTGGTGTCCGGTTGGCAGAATTTTTCCGACTAACTTTACTGTGTTTTCACAGAAAGATTAAAGAGCAGTTATTACAAGATGGCAGGCATCACACACCTGATCCCTGCAAGATTCTTGTGCCTCATTGCTCACATGGTGGTCAGCATAACCATTCTGTGGTCTCGGGTAAGTCAGTAACATTGAAATTGTTCCAAAATCTAATAATAATATCACAATAATATGTGACCTTTCTTGACTGCAAAACAAGAACACATACTGCAAAAATGCATTTATTTTTCAAGTATAATGCAGTGCCCCCAGTATGGTAGAAAACAAGAATGTTGGACTGAGAATTATTTCCAACTTTGTTACAAAATACTGGGAAAACTTTCATGACCCCTCATACTAGATTTGGTACATAATATAACATTCTTTCTTTCAAAATACATTTAAAGTTCTCACCCAATCATATGCCAATCAAATTTTGCCCATTTCTTCCTTTCTTTTTCTGTCCAGGATGCAAATATTAGGGCTTGTTTGCCAAGTTCCTACACACAAGCCGATTATAACAGTGCCGACACTGGGTGAGTTTGGCTTTTGGTCTTCACAATTTGTGGCCGTAATGATATTTCCCAACTTTGATCAAAATGCAGGAGTGACTTTTTTCTTTTTTTTTGTCCACAGATTTCTGGCGGGTTTAATTCTCTCACTCATCTTCATCGCCATGGAGCTCGCCGGCTTCATGTCAGGGGTCACCATGTTCGTCAATATGGAATCCCTCTTCTGTATCCTTAAAAGTACTCGGCAAGTTTGATTGGTTGAGTGCTTGTCACATGATCATCAATTGGCCCTCGTCGGTGGTATTTTCACTCGAAAGAAAAACTTCCAGTTTTCAGTGAAGTTTGACTGTAGACAAATCCGAGCATGATAACAATTCTATCACTAAGGCCCCCTTCAATGGCGAAAGCATTGTGCTAGCTATTGTTCAGATAATCTGTCACGGGCAGTTGCTTTGTACAATAGCATGCACAATGGTTTCTCCATTGAAGGGGGCCTCCTGAGTGTACAGTGATCTCTTGTCCGGATTCGTCTATATCAAGGATAGAGTCTGTAACTTAATCCTTAACATCACAACCAGCTATAACTGCGCATGCAGTTGGTGCTGTTTTCCTGTCCTACTTTCTCCTTGAAGCCTGGCCCTGCAACACGTATTGGTACATGTTTGGTTGTAGGTAAGTTTCCAAGGGATTCTCGGAAAAAATGTTGCAACCTGACGCCACTTTTTCATCATCGCAATGAAGGTCAGTCATTGCAAAAATGATAAGACATGAATCTGGAACTGAGAAACATTTCCAATTTTGTTAGAAAATTTTCTTGACTCTCCATAGACTTTGTACACAACCGCTGAAGTGGCGTCAGGTTGCAACATTTGTTCCAGATCCTTTTAAGTGTAACCCTTTAAAAGCATTCACCACAAAGTCTTCACATAGATTCTAATAGAGGGGTGCTGTGGTCCAATGGTTACGGTGTTTGACTCGTGTGCCGTGGTACATGGGTTCGAATCCTGACCGTGGGAACATGGTGCTTGTGCTCTTAAGCAAGGCACTTTACCATTATTGCTTCGTCCTTCGGATGGGACGTAAAGCAGTAGGTCCCGTGTGTTGTGTAATGCACATTAAAGAACCCAATGACACTTATCGCTAAAAGAAGGGGTTTGCCCCGGTGTTTCTGGCAGTGGCTGCAATATGCGCTGCAGTACCTTGTAAACCATTATAAGGTACTACATAATGGGTCTCATATTTCTCATAAACTTTATTTACCTGTCTTTAATAATAGACATAATTTTCAGCGCCTTGAGTACCTCATTGTTGGTAGATACGTGCGCTATATAAGACTCCGATATTATATTATATTAGAGGTAGACCAAGATTTTGACTGTCGTCTTTCTTTCTGTCTTTTACAGTGCCTTCCCTTTTGTGGTAGATACCTTTGTGATCATCTCCAAGATCTTTTTCAACAAGTCCAGTTGATGACCCCACGAACTCGTCACGAAACACCAAAGTCTATCATGTGTACATAAAAGTGTAAATATTATTCTAAATTATTTTTAAATCATCAGAAATTGATAGCCAAAATCTGGTTTTACTCTTTTACCTTCTTGGGTTTGTAGTTGAAATCGTAAATAATGTTTTCAATTGGCAAACTTCGTAAAGAATTCTTAAATTTTAGTTCACACATAAGGATTACATGTACTTCAATTCAAAGTACTGTTTCAAAAGAGCAAATGATTCCGTCCACTTTTCTGCATTTAATAGTTTTTGTGGTGTTGTGTATTTTCTTCAGCCATTTGCATCATGTTTTTTTTTTCGTTGTATAAGATTGGTGAGAAACTGCTTTTCTTTTTATAGAAGCCTTTAAATACTTTGATAAAACATTAAAGGAGAATAATTTCTTTATGGATGAAATGAATGAAATATATGTAAATACTGCTGTTTATGTGATGACACTTTAATTTAATTTTTTAATGTTGAACATGTTCATTGTAAATAAAATATGAAGTGAAGTAAATTGAAGTTTTGAACATAAATGACAGTAGCATTGAGATATTGCAGAGTGTTCGATGAGTTGCTTTTCAAAAAAAGTTGGGGCTTTCGAGTCACAGAGTTTAATTAAATGCAGAAACAAAAAATGTACAAAAAAGTTTACTATTGCGTATAAATCCTTGTGGAACAAAAGCATTGCGATTTCAACATGGCCACACTGCAAAGAGTCTATAGACTCGTTAAGGGGCGGGGCTCAAGACGGAGGGAGGGAGGATTGAATAAGAAGACATGGTAAAAATTTGCACACTGACTGAACGCTCTGGTTTCTATGGTTTATTCAACTTAAAAAAATCGACTGGGAAGACATTCAATTAAATATAGGAGATAGATCGAATCGAGAAGTATCAATTATGATTAGCTCTGAAAGATATACAGTTGTATTACTTTTTTTTTTAAGTGCTTTGAAGTTCTTAAAAAACAAATTCAGAACTTTTTGCTAGAAGCGTTAAACGTGCATACAATAATTGTATGATACAATTTCGTGCAGCTTATACCAAATAAAACTGTTCTTTCAGAGGAAAACATAATCTTGTCCAAAATTCTATTTTTTAATTAAAAATCAAAAATTCAGTTTTTCATTCACAAATCAAAACAGAACACTCCATTGTTAATTTGAAATTGTGCTGTCAACGTCATGCTAGCTTGTCGATACTGCGTTAATTTCGACTTGATATGTTAACGAACGTTGATATGCACAGAGCTAGCATGGCACTGTAAACACAGCACGTGCAACATCTGTTTCTCAATCTGCCAAACTCAAATCAAATTAATTAAAATCAAAATTAAATCAAATCGTATCAGACTTGTCTCACACATGAAAAATATCGAAAAAAGTACTGACATCACTACTTGTACAACACGTAAAAAAAAAATCAGAAAATAATTTTGCACATCAACAGAAAAAAAAAGTCTTTCAAATTCTGCTACAAAAAGGATACGGGAAACATATATTTACTTTAAAGTGTCCCTTTCTTGATTGCCACTCACTTGTCAAATAAATTTCAAGCAGAAAATTCACATTAAAAACATTCAACACTGCATACATAAACTACAATTTGGCTACAAATTTACGTACTATTTTTGACTACTACTGGAATGCACACCTTTGTAAAATCATCTTATGTTTTGCACACTTTTTTTTAACAAAGTCAAATTTGTAATTATAAGGATAAATATCTGCTAGCACTGCAACAAACCAACATCACAACTGCCATGCCATTTTAACTTTTTTTTGGCAGCAAAATCAGACTGTCGAGCAAGAAACATCACTAATGGCAAAAGACAAAAACCAACAAAAATGTGCTCAACTTATCAAGCGCAATATCAGATAAACATTGAAGAATTGATTTTCATGTATTTTTTTTAAACAACTGTAAAAACTTGATTGAAATTTTGACAGAGTGATTGTGACATCAGTGAAGCTCAAGCCAATCACAACCCTGTTCTCTGAACCCAGTACCCAACTGGCCAATAGCAGCAGGTTTTGGTATCTGCAACTGATGACATCATCATAAATCCCACCAATGGTCACAAGCCAGTCTATGATGTCATCACAGCTCGGACCAATCACAGTGGGCCGTATTGTACATTTACATATAAACTACAGGTAAATATGAGGAAGTTCACAACAAAATCCTCTATATTAAAATCACACACGCCACAGTTAAAATGGATTATAGTTAACAAAAAACCACCGAATACATACTTCAACAGTCCAATTGGTGATGGTTATGGTAATTTACAGAGACATTTCTCTCGTATATACTATTAATTCCGATCACTCATGCAATTTTCGAGAAACTGGGAAAAAATTACATATTTTACAAATTCATAGAGTACGATACAACTAGAAACTCTCGGAAGCTGCTATCATAACTTTACAATTTTTTTCTTTATAAAATAAATCAGAAATCATTGACCGTACCTACAATAAATTACACTCTATAGCAAAAACAATATTTAAGACATCTGTATGAAGTTATACAACGGAGATCAAGAAATCCATGAACGCCGTCCATGCATTGGAAACTTCAGCAACACGATATATTTTCACTGTAACAATCCTAGGATTTATCACTTTTACAAACATAAGAACTTGCATCTACCATTTACGTACGCTTCAAGGACTACGCTCTACAGAAATCTTCCAATGAAAGCACAATGTTACCTTTGTTTTAACAGCAATAAAATTATGATGAACATGTATCACGTCGCATACTTGGTAACTTTTGAAATTGGTATACAATATCAGATGTTAACATTTCTGGCGCGATGCCAAAATGGGGGCGGAGTGGAGGGTGGGGCGATTGCGCAATTCGAAGGGGTTCCTGGATGAAATCCCCACAATATGAAAGTAGAATAAGAGACTAAGGGACTGACCATCAATGACCACGAGGGCACTGTTACAAATTCAACGAATTCTTATCTGTGTGTACGCTATCAATTGAAGTATCTACTGCCCTCAATTGACCAAAATCAGACAGTGTAAAGCCACATCGTTACATGGCTATGGCTAGCAGTAACGCACGGGTCTATGGGAAGTGGCTTCAGCCGCTTCCATAGACGCATGTGTAGTTCCTAGCCGTAGCCATAGATTTGGAAACCTATCACAATCTTTGTCAACCCTCTTCAGATTTCACATCAACGATCAACCATTCATACGCACATCAGAAATTGATACGTTCTAAACGGTACATTTCCCCCAAACTTTAACACCCCCATGACATTTTTTTTTAATTAATCAACCAGAGATTACACCTATTTAACCTACTAACTTCCACAAAAGGTTACAAAACATATCAAATTTTCTTCTTTTTTTTGGAGATCTAGCATAAACTGTACAAAAATACTACAAGGAACTGATTTTTATTTTTTTTTAATATTAATTGGTTGACTTCTTTCTTTTTTTTGTTACAAATACCCTGGATGGATAAACAATCTTTAAAAACAACAACTGCATCGTGGTTATTATGTCTGATAATATCCAATGCAGACAAAGAAAAAGATCAAGTGTAAATTTTAGTGTCAATAACAAAAAAAGCCTTTAATTTTTTTCCTTGACATTTGGGAAGCATTCAAAAGATTATCAAAATTTTTGGGGAAACAGGTCTTAATTTGAATCGCAAACATCAACAAATAGGACCAAAAATCGGACAAAAAAATGCACAAATGCTTGTACTAAATTTCCTACTTTGATTTAGAAAGGTCTTTGACATCTGTACAAAAATTGATGTATTAGGGGTGGATTCTTACCCTTTCATTTCTTTTAAATTTGAAAGCAAGATTAATTTCCTGTTTTTATTTGGTTGTTTGATTTTGTTGTGCTACATAAATGCAAGATTGATTAGAATTAATTTTATTTACAAAACACCCTGGGGACTAAGGTAACAAAAATAGTTCATTACAAGCGATGGAACGGAGAATATCACAATACTTTGCATAGAGGTACATGTGACCACCACAGGAAACGGTATACTATCATTATTATCAACAACCATCTGACGATTTGATTTTGATTATTTGGATTATTTGGAAATTTAATCATTCAAAAATGTCTCTTTTTTTGGTGTAAGGAACCACAGACTACTTATGCACGAGAGTGTATATTTATTTTGAACATTCCAAGACTTGTAAATAAATGTCCATTTACAACTCCCAATAAATTCTGTCGGAGTTCTGGAAGAAAATTGACCATAAAACTGCACAACGGAGAGGAAGACTACGCTACAAAAGACATTCCTACACTACAGAAACAGCTGTGAATTAACGATAGTTACATAACTCTGATAGAGTATGAACATGAACAGACACAGTTAGTTATACAAAAGACCTCAGAGTTTCAAAGACAATGATTGCTGACAGTTCACAACAATCTGCATTGATTACTTAGATGGAAGAGAGGATTATCATACAGAATTTTTTTAATATATAGAATTTCCAGTTACTAATTACAGACGACGATGATAAAAAGAAATGATTAGATTCAGAGATTTCAAGAAGATTTACAATTTGTACAAGAGTTATTGCTTTTACATAGATGAAGATAGAAGTATTTTATTCTTTCTGGAAAATGTGACACATTTAATAGTCATAGAACATCAACCACTGAGAGTCAATTTACCTAAAGTCAAGGTTTGACCTCTAAAGACAACAAGTATATGTGTGTTTGGTAAACAGAAAAGAAAGTTATGAACTTCCAATTAAACCACAGCATTTCTAAGTTTCAAATAAGGCGAACTCTTTTACAGCAAATGTAATTTTTTAGTTTTTGTTTTTCCAAGGGGATCAAACTATTTCATGTAACACAAACTTTGCACATGCAGAATTTAACTCTTTTTTTTTAATTTGAAGTTTGCAATTTCAATAAAATTCTATGACTTCCGGTGCAGCAACTGGTGCAGCAAGCAAATATAATGCTTAGCAACGTTGAAAAAATGCTTAATGTAAGCATATTTGGGTAGCATTGGGATGTATGATAAAGACATATGAATAGTCTACAACGGAATAGGATTATGATAATGCTTCTTTTTTTTGTAATGAAGTTCAGGAAAACTTGCACAGCAATGAAAGAAAATACGCACAGCTTAAGTTCAATGTAAACGTATCCCTCAAACATATTTTCTGAGGGAAAATTGCTTCCAGTCTGACTGCGCCCTCAAAGGCTTTTCTCCTATACAATGTGATAATTATTCTTTCATTTTAATTTTTAATTTTGATATGATTATTAGACAATAAAATAATAGAATCACTCTTTTTAATACTGTTTCTCTCTGTCCAGCTAACACTATTTACAATCCGTCTACTTTTTTTTCTTTTGATATTCTTTTGTACATCATTATTGCTAAGATAAGCGTTATCCGTTCACATCCACACGACATTTATTTGTACATATTGCTCTATGTTTATAGACTCCGAGAAGTAAAACAGCATTCAGATATTGAGGATAATATAGACATAGTATGTAAACCATGAAATCACAACACTTTTTTCATTCCTTGTATTTCAACAACATCCTTGTTTTTTTTGTGGTTTTTTTTTTACAAATCTGACCGAACCACTTTCTGTACATCATGTGATGCATGTCTTTCAGATCATTCTGTTGGGTGTCACGTGATACACCATGTGAACATGTCACGTGACACATAGTATCTGTCATGTGATCTGTGGGTTTCATGGGATGTACAATCTTGTATTGAAAGCTACAATCAAGGGAAAAAAAGGACATCACAGCATTCGAGTATTATCTTAATTTTTTAACTTATTCAAGATTTTTAGGAAGTAGTGTTGCTCAATAAGTTTTTCAATGAGAATTAATGGAAAACATTTCTGTCTCTGATATATAAACATTCCCAAGAACACTATCATTTGCAGGTATCGATTTCTTTTGTAGGAAGGCCTTTCGGTTGGCACTTTGGATGGTTCTAAAACAAACAAAAAGTTGTTTCAAAATAAAATTTTGGTGCAGAAGGAAGACCAGCACGGTTGTGCTTAGTGCAGTTTTGTGAAATAAAAAAATTCTTTTTTTCTCGTAAAATATATATTGTGACTTTAGTTCTTTTCTTTTCCCCCCCAAATAGACATCAAAATTAACCATATTGCTGGAATCTTTGTGTTGAAACACAAACACGCGTGGTGTTTGTAAGTATTACTGTACATCAAGCTGCCACTCTTTGGGAAAAAAAAAAAAAAACTTTTATTGGGTTACAACTTTACAAACTACTTGCATATATGACCTCACTAATTTAAGGTCATGATTTAAAAAAGAAGACATCATTTTTACCACAGGTCTTCTTTTCATGCATATTTTTATGAAACTTTACGGCAGTAGGGAATCGACTAAAATTAACATGTTACTGGTATCACTTCAATTGCCATCATTGATGTCACGCCACAACTAGAGATTTGCTGACAGCAGAGATTAGATGGCATATGCATTTAATTAGCTGGAGGGTGCTACTAAATGCAGCTATTAGATTTTCCAATATGCACCTGCGATGCACCTGCGATGCACCTGCGATGCACCTGCGATGCACCTGCAATGCACCTGCAGTGCACCTGTGACCCAGTTGGACAAACCAGCTGCACATGCACCTTTGACTAGAGTCATTTGACTTCACCTTGGATTGCACAAGAACTTCAGGTACCAGCTAACTCACTATACGCGCACGTTGAGCATGTGCCTCCTCCTATGGGTCTCCATCTGCGTCATTCCAATCACGCCTTGCACACATCCATCCCTAGTGCAGTGGAAATGGGAGTACCGCAAGGTGTACTTGCATCCGACGAAGCCGCAGGGCTCAGCGCTGCTGTACTGCCTGAAACCCGCCGCCGATATGGTGTCTGTCTTGACATGCTGCTTGCGATGCACCGCCACCTTCCCGGAGTCCGTACAGACGAAGGTGCAGCGTAGGCAGTGGAAGTGGGTGCTGTTGCCCTGGTACGGGCAGCTGTCCTGTTCGCACTCGTTGTTGGCCTTGAAGCGTCGGAAGTCGTGCTGGATGATGCTGTTGACCCGGTCGTGATGCTGGGCGTGCTTGTACATCATGGTCTTGCCGGCGAAGCGGTAGGTGCAATCCTCATGCAGGCAGTGGTAGTGGGTCGTGGTCATGTTGAACTGGCAGCCGTCTTCGCCGCAGGTCTCACTGCGGTCAAATCGACGGAAACGATCCATCATCATGGAATCCAAGGGTCCCCGTTTGTAGCGCTTGTACCCTGAAGGGGCTCCTGGGTCCTCCTCTATCAGATTCAAGGACCTCTTGCGAGGCATCGGCACCATTGCTGGGTACACGTCCTCGTGACTGTTCAGTGCTAGCGGTTGATACTTAAGCTGAGCAATGCCGTTGTAATTCTGGCTGGTACTCGGCTGTTGCTGGTTACCGTTGACATCTTCTTCGTCTAGTGGGGACAGCGGGATCATGAACGGGGGCAACGGCTTGGAGGAACTTGTGGGAACAGAGGGAGTGATCATTTGGATTGGCACTCCAACTTGATTGACCACTCCCATACCGCCGACACTCATCAACCCCAGACTGCCGGCATTCATGATACCTGTGTTAGCTGACGACATACCAGGCACAACGCTCGGCGTCAGGGAGGGCAGCGTTAGAATCGGCGCTGCGCTGGTGAACATGATTTGGTTGGACACCGCTGATGAGAAGGGTACCGAGCTGGCGGATACCATCGGTATGACAAGCTGCTGTGGACCAATCAGAGAGCCTCCTGGTTTGTTGAAGTGTTTACCATAGATGCGTCTCATATGCTTTCGGCCGTGACTTTCCATCTGCTGAATCTATGGAGAGAAAAGAACAAACATTTAAAGCAACTAGAGAAAATATATCCTGAAAACATTTCTTTAGCATTGGGGAATCGACATTTCACAAAGTTCCTAATCTTGTCTTTTATGGTGTGATGGTATCGAGCAAAACAAACCTGTAGGAAGGAGAAATTGCATCCCTGATGGAGACAGTGGTAATGCTTGTTGAGGAGGTTGTACTTGCAACCCGGCCGTCGACAATCCATCTTGCGACTCATCTGCCGGAAGCTCTGGAAGATGACACTCTCGTTGACCTTGTGGTCTCTCAGCATGTCCTGGCTCTCGGTGGCAAACTGGCAATCGCCTCGGGTGCAGTGGTAGTGCTGCTTGGCCCTGTGAGGGCAGTCTTCGACGGTGCAGACGTCGGGTTCGCAAGTGATGAAGCCCTCACTTGACGCCACCCCTGGGGAAGAAGTACTTGGAAGTAGATCAGTCGCCGGCGTTGAGCCGGGCACCTCACTGGGATCAGAGCTCTGGGTGTGTGTGGGAGTGGATATGGTGGCAGAAGCGGGATTGTTGGAGGTCTTGGGAGTGCTCCGAGCTTGAACTTCTGCGAAGGAGACTGCTGAGATGTGGATGGATTCCAGCTCAGGATTCATCTTGTGCTTCTCGTAGTGTGGTCTCATGAGTGAGCTGCCGGTGTGGACAACCTCACCACAGTAAATACCTGGCTTTAGGCTCTGTGAAGAAAAACGAACACAGAATGTTGAAAATTGATAAGCTCAATGAATCATTTAAACGGATATCTTAGCAAACAAATAACAGACAAGCTGCTGCAGCTGCAATCAACACTTTTGATGTGGATGCTGCTACAGATGCTGCAGCTGTTACTGCCATTCCTGCTGCAGATGACGTTGTTAAAACTGCTGAAGTTATCAATGCTCATACACCAGATAGTGCTCCCGCAGCTGCATATGGTACTGCTAATGCTGCTACTGCATGACGCTGCAGCTGCCGCTGTTGCTGCTGCTGATTCTCCGCTGTTGCCAATGTCTACTTACCCACATGCAGTGGTAGTGAGCCAGCGGGCTGAAGGAGCATCCAGGAAAGAGCTCCTCACAGCTCTCGCCTTGCTGGAAGTACTGGAAACCCAAGTCATTGGCCTCGTCTGAAAGCATGTGGTATCTGCAACCAAGAGGGTAGAATCAAGTAACTGCCAAGACCATGATACCGTTAATAATGACGCACGAGACCCAGAATAACATACATCGACAGGAACGACAAAATGTAAGTTTGCCAACACTGTTTTCTCTAATGCGGCCAATCTCATGGAGCCGCTAAGCGCACAAATGGGCCGTGTCCGTATTGCTTGGCTACGGCTATTAATAACACATGGGTCTATGAGAAGGGGCTAGAGCCGCTTCCCTAGGCGCGCGTATAAAATGTCCAGCCAAAGCCACGTAATTCGGAAACGGCTATATTTTGCTTAGCGAAAAGAGAGTCATTCAACGTAATATGTGATGCGATCAAGCTAAATGAGTCGTTTGTCGACCCTGGTCAATTTTTTTTTTTTTACAGATTTGAATAGAGCACAATCTCAGCATTACTGCTGTGAAAACCGCATGCTGATACCATCTTTAGTTCAAAATTTATGGAAGTCGGAACACCAAGAGATGTGATGAAGTGATGTGATGAAGTGATGTGATGAAGTGGCCCTATTTTGGCCTGAATCTCCAAATGAAAGTTCCCGACAAACGACTCATTTAGCTTGACCGCATCACGTATGTTGCTTGTGATTGGCTCTCAGCAGATTTGTGCTTATCTGATAATCTTACATGTTGGTAAATGTATTGTGAACAAATTTGTACATCAATTTCTCAAACACTAATTCTGTTCTTGGCAGTAACTGGGGCATCATAGTTTTTTGGGGGGAAATCTTCCAATAGATGGCAAACACTGCAGTCCAAAATTTAAAAAATATGATGAACTTTGATTTCTTGCCAATCAATAGAGGATAGCAATGCCAGCTGAATCAAGCTGCATAAAATAATACGCAGCTCTGCTGGGAAGTTAAGTTACGGTTGAATGAATATTACCAAAGGAAGCTCTTTATGTGCACTTTAAACACAACTTTTAGAAACAAGAAAGTTCCAGTTTTGGATCAGAGTAAAAGCTTTGCAACAATCATTTTGTACAACCATGCACGTGATAAGATAGAGCTCACAAGAGTGCACACTTTAAATCCGAGACCACAAAACGTTTTGAATTACTTGATTTTTTTTTACCAGAAATTATTCAATGCATCAAGGACGCCTTTCTTTTTTCAGTAGATTCTTCTCAATTTCAAGGACGAAAATACACAATCATGCAGGACAAACATCTTACTTCCGACAAAACCAGCTCAGTGCAGATGTGCTTGCTTTTAATAGTTAACTTAATTTTTTTCAAAGCATTTCAATGTTACCAACTATTGTTTTAATTTCTGGTTTTGTTAATGAAGCTCGAATATTATATGCACTAATATAGCAGGTTAGTTACATGCTGTAAATTAGCTTAGGTTTGTAGAGACTTCAAGCCATTTCTGTAGGGTTTTTAACTCATCTGCTATCTTAGGCATAGCATGCTTGTTAGAATGGGTCTACTAAAAGCCTTGCATGTGTTCGTCTGCTCTGTGTGTCAAGTCTCATGCGTCAGAAAGCTGCTTGTTTGTAAACCAAACAGCACTGTGTTGGATTTTTATAGCATAGCAAGTTGGATGTAGTGAACCCAACCATACGCATATTTACAGTGGCTTAAAAGCCGCATCAAAAATTAATGGCTATGACTAGCAATTACACAGTGTCTATTGAAGCGGCTGACTGCACCTCCCATAGAAACATGTGTTACTACCAGCCACAGCCATTAATTTCATGAATTTGGACAGGGTGGCCATACACATACTGGCAATGGCTTGGCTTCCAACGGGTAACTTCATCAGCCAAACATGAGAAAAATCCTATGGTCCATGTGAAGACCCCCTCTGGATTAAGAACAGTGGGCCCAATTTCACGGCGCTGCTTAGCAAAAAATTTGCTTAGCACAAAAAAATCTGGCTTATAAAAGCAGTTAACTAGCCAAAACTTCACATGATTTTTATGCTATAGCAAACAACAGCTCAATACTACGCAAGAGCAATATACATCACATGGAAGTTTTCCTGGTAACCTGCTTTTATAAGCCAAACTTTTTTTTGTGCTAAGCAAATTGCTAAGCAAATTGCTAAGCAAATTGTTTTGCTTAGCAGAGGGTGAAATTGGCCCCAGCACTTTTTGAGCCCCTTTATGCACAGAGCAGACTGGCGCATGCTGGATTATCGTTCCTATTTGTTAGTCTCTAGTTTGTTACCTAGCATGCTTGTTAACGCCCTCTTTGGACTTGAAGACTGCACCGCAGTCCTCCACCTTGCAGTGGTAGTGGTCTTTGTAAAGCAGCTCACAGCGAGGTCGGCACGGGTCATTGGCCGTGAACCTGTACAGACCAAACCAAAGGCCGGGAGACGGGGGAAATTTCAGAGCAAATGCATTTTTTTTTTTTTTTTTGGAGGGACAATTTTTTTTCACAGCGATGGATGCAAACAGAAATTCTAATTTGAAAGAAAAACTGTAATGGTAGGTTTCGTGAAGTTCTAAATGAAGGATAAATCATAGAAATTAAAACACTGAGAAAACAATTCTGACTGTTTACTGTTGCACAAGTAGAGTGGAATTTCTCTGATTGGGACTCAATGGGGTACAAGTTTGGAAGAGCACATACGTGCATTTAATTCTCCAGGTAAGACTGAGCAAAATGAAGCGGTTCGTTGAAATTTCTGAATCATCTATGACCGATTCCTAGCCCACTATATGTATGTTAGAGCATTTGTGCACCATGCAGAAACAACTAAACAAATCATATGGTACTACTACAAGAATTACAAGAAATTGAACATAAAATGCACAAACAATGAGCCATGTGTAATCTTCAATGCGTGAACAATCAGGGCCTAATTTCATACCACTGCTTAACAGCAGATTTTTGGCTTACCGAGCCTCCATCTATTTCAAACACACCATAAGCAGTAAGCACAATTAAAGCTTGCTTAACCCAAGAGGACAAAGTTGCTTAAATCAGTGACGCAACAGTAGAAATCTCCATGTGTGCGCAACGATTCGCATGTCCAAGCCATGAAATAGTGCTTAAGCAGCAGTATGATTTTCTGCTATAGTAAGCACAACTTTTCTGCTAACTGTTAAGCAGCAATATGAAAATAGTTGTACTTGCCGATAAAGTGTCTATGAAAGCCAACACAGCAGCCTTGTTAGCCATCGCAAACAGCCACTGTATTAAACACCTCGAAGATTACATATGGCTCACGTGGTGGCGACTATCACCAACATAAAATTGAACCTGCATACTTTAACGATGTTTTGCATATTACAATGTGTTAGAGACCATTCTTACGGCATGCAAATGTGAAACACAAAATAAAACAAAAATGACAACACCAGTAAGCCAACTAGATATCAACTGGATGAGCTACATGAAGGATCGAGATACTCGCTAAGTTTCATTCCATCCTCCTCCTTACCTCTTGAGGTATTTCTGCCACGGTTCCTCTGGTTTCCCCTCCTTGACGCCTGGGCTACTGAAAGTGCTGCCAGCACTGCGGGACGGTGCCACGCCGCTCTGACTTGCCGCTGTAGCCAGGGCTATGCATGCTGCTGCTGCTGCAGCAGGAGGAGGAGCTGCTGAAGAGGACGCGGTTGTCTCTGTGCTTACTCCAGGACCTGTTTGTGTATGAATAGGGTTTTCATCAAACACCGTGTTGGGTCGAAAGAGGCAGTTTGGACGAAGTAGCTTGCCCAAGGACACAACGTATGACAAGCAGCTGGTTTCGAACCCCTGACCCTCCTGATCATGAGTCAAGAACCCAAACCACTAGGCACACTCCCCAAAAACGTTGGAGTACCGCAATGGGTACTGTTCACAGACCTGTACAGTTTCCCAAAGAGCCTAAGGCCCCCCCAAAAAAGTCTCCAGTTTCTGGTATGTGCGCGTGTCGCTGTAGCCATGCGCATCGGCAAAATTAAAAAGTTTTTTTTTAATGTAAGATGAAGTCTCAAAATCGCCAAACTCACTGGTTTGACTGGAATCCTGCTGCTGCACATTTTTAACATGTTTTTAGATGGGGTTACGATCAAGTATAAGCTTTATGTGGCCTCTCTGGGCTCCAATACATTTTGCACTAAATTTAGTCCGGCACCATTTGCAGTCATCAGCCGACATTTGAAGGAAAAAAAGGAAAAAAAGAAAAGAAAAAAAAAGCCATGGTAATATGCGCCATCTTGTTCACAGGGCATAAAAGAACACACCTTGCTAGATGCGAGCGCATATTAGAATAAACGCATGATGACTTTGAAAGTTTTCAATTGACGTGCGTACTCAGCAACGTGTGTTCTTTTTGCCCCGTGAAGAAGATAGCGCATATTACCGTGAAAGGGCTTATTATTCTGAAGACTTTTGAGATAAATATACAATGGCAACCACGTCAGTTATTAAAAAGATCTGTGAAAGCACGTCAGCTATTATGAATCATCTGTCTTACAAAATTACAAAAGGCGAGTATTTTGAGATGTAACGGCACAATCTCCGTAAGACTGGAAGAATTTTGAAAATGTTGACTTTTACCTAATTGCGGAGGAGAAATGTGAGAAGCAACAGGCAGATTGAGCGAGTCACTCAGTCCTTCCTCTGAAGACACCCCTCCTGATGTGATGCTAGTAAACGCCGACGGTAGCATGTCCGTTTCCGCTGTGGTGCTGGTTGCTTCATCGTCAGCGTGAGTGATCGGTGTGAGAGCCAGCTGAGAAGTCGACGGTACAAGAGTAGGAGACGAGAGGTAATCAAGAGGCTTGACCCGCTGCGGTAGCACGGACCCGTCCGCTTGGATCAGGACCGTCTCCGGAGCGTCTCGGAGACGCCTCATGGTGGACAGGCCCGGGGTGGGCTTAGGGCGGATCAGTCGGAGGGAGAACCCTCGCTGGTGGCGGGCTGCCTCGTACTCCAGGATGCGCTGGCGACGGTCGTGCTTGCGCTTGTGGGACTGCATCTGATTGGCCGCCGTGAAGACGAAGCCGCAGTTCTTGCGGATGCAGTGGAAGTGGTTGGTATTGTTGGAGTACTTGCACCAGTTGTACTTGCATTTCTAAGTTTTCGCAAACAAAGAAAATAACACCATGTTAACAAAAGAGGCTTGCCAAGACAAGCGTAACCCCAGGGTTCCAGTTTAGGACATTATTAATACTCAGTGACACAATTACTCAATCAGTAAGTTAGAGACTCAGTCAGGGGACAATAGCCTGCCCCTTCAGGACCAGCAAAAATTAACTTGCATGGTGTCTCTAGGAATTGGAAGCAGAATAACTAAGTTCTAGGTTTGAATCTAGACCTAAAAGGCAGTTTAAGTATCATGTTCGAAAGTTACTGTCAATGCGGGGTTTGGAATTTTAAGGCCGCGTTCGGACATTGTGTCTAGAGCTACATGTAGGTCTAGGTCTTTGTCGGTTGCAATTTTCTTGCAAATACCTGGGCACATGTTGACAATAGACATAGCTGTAGGTCTGGAAGCCTGCTTCAGACACGGCCTGAATGTCTTCTCCGGTTTTGGCTTCATCTCTGACTTCACGATCATTAAGCAACCAATAATGTCAAAACCAAATGGAAATAATATTCCCAACTTTGGCCTCATATATCATAAAATGTGATGTTTCCTAATTAGAACGCGGACTCATATTGAGCCAGAGTCCAACAAGTCAGGAGCCTAAAAGACAAAACCGTAGTTTCAATAACCTCCACAGATGCCAGGCTCATGGGAAGAAATGAAGATAAGAAACCCACCTCGTGTTTGCTGAATTTCTTGAATCCATCCTTGCGGTAGATGTCGTCCTTGATGTGGTAGGTCTTGTGCTTCTCGATGTCGCACTTGTTCTTGAAGACAAAGTCGCAGCCGGGCCGCCGGCAGTGGAAGTGGGTGGTCTTGTGGCCGTAGAAGGTGCAGTTGGGGACCCCGCAGTCCTCCGTGGCTCGGAAGCGCTGGAAGCCCTCGTTGATCAGCGACATGTTCTTCTTGTGGAAGTTCTCGTGGGTCAGGACGTCCGAGGTGCTGGTGTAGACTTTGTTGCAGCCAGTCTGATGGTAGTGGGGTAAAACATGAAGTCTTTCAGCCACAAGTCAAGTCCAAGCAATTAAAATGAACTGCGACAAACACAGTCCTTTGTCTTGAATGATTGATGATTGATGGAAGTTTGCGTCTGGGAGTTGTACATTTTTTAATAAATTGGGTTTTGCCCTTCAGCATGTTATAGGGACTGAATACTCAGTGCTAACTGAGAGCTTATGATTGTTATTGTTCACCCGCTGGAGCTTGTGACAATACTTGTGATTTCACTTTCATTGACATGTGATGGGATTATTATCCGGATTTTTTAAATTTCAGTTTGAATTCCACTATTTGGTTTGGATTTTGGAAAATGGATATTTGAAACCAACCGTAAAAAAATTAAGCCTGTTATATTGTTTCTGACACAGGCTAACAAAAAACAAAAATCTGGAACATCCCCCAATTTGCTCCATGGTCTCTGATTGTAACCACATTCACTCGCTAGTGGTCTTCTTTGTTCATGAATAGCCTGCCCATTCAACTAAGGAGAGAGTTCCCACCTATTTTTTTCGGGTCACCATTACAGCTCTGGAGGGCATTGCGTGTGGCATCTTAATCATCACTTTTGTTGGCATGACTGTGAGCTGAATGGGAACTTCCGGTGAAATCAGATAACCGTTATTCAGTTTGAAAAAATTAGGATAACCCGGTTTTGAAATCTCCGATTTTTCACACCACTAGATTTGACTTACGGTGGAATTGTGGAAGATGGAATTGTGGAAGGGAGTGTCAAGTTCACGTAGTGGGACTTATATTTAGTGCACCAGTTCCTTTCTGATTCTATGGATTCTGTCACACGTTTTTTGTGTGGACATCTTGAAAGCACGAAAAGCGAATGGCATTTCTTCACAAGTTTCTTCAGTTCCACGTGCAGCGCAAAAAAGATTTTTGTACAATGTCAAAGTTTCATTACAGGATGTTGTTTTAAGGAATAGATCAATATTTACTCCAGTCATTCCAGGAAGGAATGTGGGTCATATTCCTCAAATCCGTCAATATTTGATGGAGGAAATACTTTTCAAGATCAAATGTCCATCCCATCAGTCCAGAAACATTTGCTATGTGTGGGGCTAGGTAATTTCCCCTTTGTCCAAAAGGCAAATTTTCTATGAGAAAGTCTGTTTCCCTTTGGGATCATTTAAAAAGAGACCGAGGTTTGGGGGTTTGCACCCCCCCCCCTTCAGCCGCTGACTGATGTTATAATACGAGTAAATTTGCAGTAAAAAATAATAAATGGAATGCTGTAAAGTTCTTAACTTTATTCTCAAATTGCCTAAGAAGGCAGGAGACAGCATGTAGATTTTAAAATTGCCCATGGACTCCCCTAGCAGGGCATGCTTTCTGCACGCCTTCACTCTACCCCTCCTCCCTTTCATATCAACCCCCCGTTTCCAGAAAGCTACATGTACATGTACATCTGTCCCAGCAATTAACAGAAATCAATGCACAATTACTGATCTCGGCTACATTCTTCCGAATGTTCTTCTGAATTCTTTGTATGTGACAAGCTTTACCTGTAAGCAGTGGTAGTGAGTGTGCTTGAGGTTGATGGTGCATTCTGGGTAGTACGGACCGCAGTTGTCCGAGGGGCTGAAGCGCATGAAGCCGTGCTGGAGTGAGTTGTCACGTCGTTTGTGCCAGTTGTAATGGCGGACCACGTCCTCCTTACGTGTGAACCTCTGTGAACGCAAACGGACAACATTTTGAAAAACAAGGTGACTAGATACTCCAGTAGGTCAAATCGGACCTTTATGAGTCCTTCTGCCTTTAGAGCTGTAGTCACGTCCATCAAGAGTCTGCAAGTGATCATAAGTCATCACAAGTCATCACAAGTCATCAAAAGTCATCATAAGTAATCACAAGACATCATACATCATCCCAGTCATCATAAGTCATCACAAGACATCACAAGTCATCACAAGTCAAAAGTCAAGTGACAAACTATCTGGTTTGTTAGTGTGACGTCAGTTTAGTCTAAACCACGCCCACTGGCCATTAAGTACCCCATAGCATCGGAACCATTGGAACTGGAAGCTAACGCACCTCGAGCGTTTATCCAATGGGCGCTAGTAATCAGTGGTGCACGCATGTATAACATTTTTACTAACGAACCGGATGAAACTTTGACATAAGCGATTTTTTTTTCTTTTTTCCTGTCTACCCCCTTTACTTGGAACCTCATTTGTGACTTGCGAAAAATTACATTTGTGATGGACTTGACTTCTGTTTAATGTTGAGGTCACACATTCCAATATGCTGGTCTGAGAGTCTTTTGGATCCTTTCCGGTTTGATGTCAGTTTTAAATAAGAAAACAAAATCATGTATACCCTAAAGAAAATAAACTTCTTTCCTTTTCCTCACAATGATATTTTTTTTATAAGATGTGCAAATACAACTACATTATGACCTTGGGTTTTAGTCGGTGCCCCTTGGTGCTGTTCATGTAATTCCTTACAGTTTGTTGATGGGAACCATTCTGTTATGAGACTTGGACTGAAACCTGACTACAACATGAGCCCTGACTTGTAACGTGACTCACGTCACTTGAGATGGTTGAGACTCGACAGAAACCAAAGACATTGTCACAGTCGGTAAGAAAGCCTCTCGGAAAAAAAAGAAGTCTGCATGATAGCAAGAACCATAAAAATCATAACTCTAACCACATACAGCGTGTGTCAATAAAAACGCAGGATTAGAAACAAAAATATTAAGAATATAAACCACCCCTATTCATCATAATGTTAACCTTCTTTTCAAAGTACCTATCCTTCTCTTCACTATGCTTTTTATCCCATCTCATTTGGACAATCCTGTCCAGAGATAGAGTACATTGAAGAAGGGTTATAAATTCCAAGCTGGTCTGATTTGTGAAATCACACATACCTAATGAAAGGTTTGAATTCAGTACAGGTGAAAGTATTTGTGGATCACAAAGAAGGACATGTGTGGCAGGATTAGGCTTACATAATCCTTTAGTCCACAATCAATGTTATTAGTCAATAATTCATGATGCTTTGAAACAATGATAGTCCAGTTATTAAATTTAAGTGATACTTACATGTATCATCAGTTGTTTCAAAGAAAGTTTTGTTCTGGTTTAATTGTCTTCAATGCATACCTGCATTGTACATAACTGGTCGTTGTGTTAAGGTCATTGAATCAGACCAACCCGCTTCAGAAGGGCTTCACAAAACTTGTCATAACTTTTGAACCAAAAGTCCAATTTCCACCAAACAAAAATCTTGTCAAAGATGAAATTATGGACAATCAAATCCTTATCAAATTAGGCACACCAGTAGCATAATTTTCTCAGAAAAAAAATCGCTTTGAATCCTGCGTTTTTATTGACACACGCTGTACAACCCTTCAAAATCAACTGCATGTTTTGTTGGAATCTGTTGGAGTGAGTGCTGCACTAGAGTGAGGCATACCGGTACATGTACCACCATAATCAGAGTTCAACAGTTGGGGGTTGAGTTTACCATATGGTGTTGGATTTTGCAAGAGTGAGGAAGGTTCCTTGTAAATCACTCAAGGGGGTTAGGGTTAAGGTTATTTTGTTATGCCAGTCCATGGACGGTTTCTGTGAATTTGTGTGCTTGAAACTGTTGAAAACAAAATTGACAAATTTCTTTTTCTTGAATTCACATAATTGACTAAGGAAAACATTCCTCTTGACAAATAGCTACCAGTACATGTAGTGTCGTCAAATCAATTGAAAAAATTCACACTTGAAATCAGAACCACTTTCAACTGTTTTGGCAGGACAGGAGGCAATTCCAAATATGGGGAACATGAGGGGTTTTTGGAGATCACACATTTCCTACTTGGTTATCCGCTGCACTATCCGTGTAGCATTTCTAGATCCTGTTGGCAGGCGAGCATGTTTTGAATTTTAGCCGGAGTTTTGGGTTACATCTAAACAATGGAATCTGCTTCATTTCCTGAAGTCTGGGCTTGAACTTTAACCTTCCACAGCCCCCCCCCCCCAAAAAAAGGGCTGCCAAGATGTCAAATGCGAGGTTAGATTTACCATCTGCCTGTATTGCAAAATTCTTCTAAGATATCAGTTGCGTTTGTCAAATGAGACGTGAATTCACTTTCTTATCTCCTACTCCGGTTTTTTCCTCATATAGCAAGTCTTCTTAAAGCCTTGAAAAAAGTGCAGCAATCCATTTTTTCCCCTGTGTATCTAGCAAAGTTCAACTTTAAACGAAATTACAAGAACCTGCATTCTTAAACTGTCAATTCTGACAACTAGCCACAGGTAATGTCACAAATACGACCAAAACTGATTTCTCCCACGTTCTGCAAGCGAATCTTTAGAACATAGGTTTCAAATCTGAAATCATTCAAAATGAGATTTTAATCTTAAAAGTGAAAGTTCTTTTCAACTTTGCAAAACTTAAGACAAAGACAGTTCAAAGTACGGGTACGCCATATTTTCTAAACAAAACTAAAAAAGAGAAAGTTTTATTTGACGAAACTAGAAAAAAGAATTGTGTGTTTTGTTTTTTTTATCATCGAAACCGTGCCTACTGCCATTTACGATCAAAAACAGCTTTGTAGTCAGATTGGGTCAAGCAATTATTATCAAATCCACCCAGGCATACGAGACTTGAGTGACAAATTCCAACCCATAACGGCTCCTAATTCAAACAGGAATTTCACTAAATGGCAAAACAACGGCCGAACAAAAAACAGGAAAAAGACTTAATTTCCTAAGCTGTAGAATCACAGAAACCAGACTCTCGCTTTCAGTCCTGCTTGTTTTCTTGGTCATATACAATTTTGTTCCGAATCATGTGGGAAGTCGACAATTTCCCGTCATTGTGTGCCTGCTTCCTTTCTTTCAATTCTCCAACAAAGCAGCTCAAAAAATGAACTCCAGTTTCTAATCACATAATCATTCTTTTTTTTGTGGTGGAGTTGTAAAGTTATCAAAGCTTCTGCTTTAAACACTGAGAGGAAATGGTATTAAAGGAGTAATCACTACTGGAAGTGCCTCATGAAAGTAGACCTCTTTTTTTGTCTAATACCTTTTAAAAATGACCATTTGTTTACAATAAATTGGAGGAAGCTGATGCATTGAATGATTCATCTTGAATAGTTTCTTAAGTTTTTAAGGTACACGCACAAATTGTGAATTGTCTGGGTGAATGAGAAGAGGCTCACAAATGCTGAGAGTATGAAGCATCGCTGCTCAACTTTTCTTACAAATGTACAAAATATAAATGAAGAGCATTGTAAACTGGCACATTAACATGTTCTCACTTTAAGACTCAATATTCGATCCTGCTTGTCAAGTTCTTTAAAAAAGACACTTGAACTTCAGGGTACGTTTCTCATGATTTTTGTTGTTGCTGAATTCACCCTATTCCCAAATGTGTTGCTTTAAGTTCAACAAAATTTGGGTCTGAAGTTCCTCGAACACGGAAAATCTGACCAAGGAGATTTTGATCGATAAAGAGTTTTGGGGTTAAAGATGTTTTAATAAATCAAAAGGTCTGATGTTCAACAACATTACGATTATTATGTGTATGCTTTGAATTTGAACTGTCACCTCTCTGGTAAGTGTGTATAGAAGAATGCAAGAAATCAATGCTTTGAAGTGAACCAACTTTTTATTTTGAAATGATTCAAACACAAGTAAATGTGATAAACACATTTTTTTAAAACAGTATCCTGTCACAGAATATATGTACACGCATTATTCTATTTCCTGCAACTAGCTAAAAAATGACTCAAAACAACACCGCTCTTTTATCCAAATCGTAAAGTTGAAGACGAAAAAGTGAACAGAGAACCTTACGAAAACTGAAAGTTCCCCTCCAAGCGAAAGACAAATTTTCAAGCTTAGAATTACAAAACAGGGCTTTGTTTAACAAAAAATACCAAAGAAGTGCTGGATTGCAGTCACGGAACCCGGGAGAGAGAAGCAGATAACAGATAAGCCAGCACTCTGTGGCTGAGAGTGAGAGCAACTTGGGTATACAAAAATAGTTTGAAATGAGATATCTTGGAGCAGAATCGAGCTTTTTCTTTTGATTTCAAGCGGTCATATTTCACTCATAAGATTTGTGCTTTGGGTATGGCAGAATCGTGAGAACATTTTTTTTATTAAGGAGGCCTGTCTGTCAAACTTGCACTTTTTGTTCTTTGTTTTCAAGGCAAATCTTGCGAGGGGGAAAGTGAAAGACTTGGATGTTTTCTTTTAAAAAATATTCTAGGAACGCCTGAGCTACCCTGGGAAGTTTACCAAATTTGGTGTGAAAAAAGGAGCAAATTATTAAGAGAAAAAACAAAACTTTCACGGCCAGTTGTACTCACCGCAAAGTTGCAGCCTTCGTCGATGCAATGGTAGTGTTCCTTAAACTGGTAGACACAGTGCAGATGGCCACAATGTGCTGAGCCAGAGTATCTGTGATAGGAAGAAAAAAAATGATTTGTACTATGAGAAATTATTTAACGGGATTTAGCCATGGAAGTCCGCAGGAGAATAGCCACTGAACCCCTCAGAATGGCTAGCCCATTGAAAGGTTATGAAAATATTTCAAGTTCATATTAAAACTGCCTTCTTGGTTGTGCTTACTGATTGAGATTGCTGTGACAATACTATTTTTTATGCAGGACGGGGAACTAAAAATTAGCTTTTACTGGAATCAATTTAAGAGATATTTAGCTGCAGATTAAGTATAACAGATTGGAAATATACATGTACAACAAAATGTATTACGATTTAACCAAAAGCAAACAAGTTGTTTTAACTATTGTGTATTCCCCAAAATTGGACAGTGAACAGTGTCAATTGGACAATGTGTCTTAAAGTTGCTGAACCCTTAACACCTGCTAAAGTTTAATCAATTAGCATCTGTGCTAATTCCTTGATGAATCTATTAGCCATACAGTGCTGGGGTAGTTTGGGGCAGTACAGGGAGTAACAGGCAGGGTGGTTTGGGCAGAACAGGGACAAATGGGTTGTTTCCTTTGTAAAACATGTTATTCTTTTATGCGGTACCTTGTGATGTACTTGCTGAAGACGTTCATCTCTCCCGGTGTGATCTCATCTTTGACCATCTTGGCCAAGCCGTTGGAGATGTTCCTCTTGCTTGTCCCTTCCCCAAAGTCTTGCTGCTCCGGCTCCTCGGCAATCACAAGATTTCCCAGGTCCCCTGCCTGGCTGGTGTAGTCTAACAGCGCTGCGTGGCCATTGGTGGATTGTGAGGGGATGCCGTTTGAGGTCGTCTCCGAGCCGGAGGTTGAAGCCACATGATCTGGGAGGATGATCTCATAAGGATTGACATCTTCCCCGTTCCGGAGCTTGTTGAGATAGTAGTCGTACTTGGATGCGTATTTGGACGTCTTGATGTGGTTATTGACAACAGGGTTGAAGGCTTCTGATGGCATCTCGTCCGTAACCTCGCTGTGTTGTTCTTCGGACATTTGCGCGGCGTCGCCGCTGTGCTCGTGCTTCCGATGGATCTGGGTGCTGATGATGTCACGGATCTTCTGAGACGCGCTCTGCCTGCGACCTATGACCTTGTGGATGGCCTCGCCGGCTTTCAGCTTGCGGATGTAGCTGTCGTACTTGGAGATGCGGTGTGCCGAATAATCAATAGCCTGGCCTGTTGATAATAAGAACAATGAAACATGGGAGTCAACATATGTGTAAGATTCTGCTGTAACTAAATATCACCTTTATTACAAGTATATTTTTTGTTGATGTAAATTTGTTGTTAACTTGTAAATGTATGAATACTTGATGTATTAGTGTGTCATTCTATAAATTTGGGTCCACTATTTTTCCTGTCTCTGTTACATATGACATCTTTTACAATGACCTTTTATAAGACTTTATAATTCTAATGCACTCCTTACTGCAGTCGTACTCCAAGAATGATTATGAATAGCAAACTACATGAACATGTTAATAAAATCATTTGAAGTCACTCTTAATATTACTTGAATGGTAATTTACAAAGTACAAAGGTAACAGGGACAGGAAAAAATATGTTACACTTTGGACCCTCAATTTATAGAATGACCTATATAATTGAATCTATGAAGAAAAAAAATATCCACTTACATGTACAAATTGTACATCTGGTTAACGGTATTTCATGTATGTATCGGTAAGTGGATTCATATTATGTGTGACCACCTGCAATTACAATGTGCATACCAATACTGGAAAAACCCCGCCTTTCCCAAGCAAAATCCATGTGCAAAGGAAACCCCACAAAAAAGAAAACTTTGAAAACATTTTCCTGTTAGCCATACACAATTTTCTCTGTATACCCAGATACATGTACAGTACATGCAGATGAAACACATTGCAAACAAATAAACATGTGACTTTGAGATGATTATTTATAGAAAAAACATGTTTCATAACCAAGTTTCCATTAAAACCACAATCAAGGCTAAAAAAAGGGTGGTTTTTAGACCTGTAGCTAACACAGCACATACGATATGACAAGACTCCTCTTTAAACAATGCACGTATTCATGACTATTTTGGGGGATGAACTATTTGATATTTTCTAGGCTTTATGAAACTTCCCTTTTCCTGGCTTTGGGAAAGGTTAAGTGGTAAACAGCGCTAGCCAAAAAACAAGATAGGGTTCAGCAAGGTTTGATTTCTATTAATATAACATTTCTGATCCTGCTAGATTTATCTGGCATCCTCAGACACGACTGCTTTGGGCATTTTTATATACTTTTCCTCTTTGTAATGATTTCAAGTTGATTGTGCAACTACATACAGTGTAGTTTATTTCCAAAAAGCGATATATCAATTTCAAAAAAGTGAGAAAGTTGTACAATGTACTGCTATGAAAACGAGAACATAGACAGTATAATAGCTGTTTCTGAACTACATATTTCGCTCATTGTATTCATAAATTATGTTTAACTGTATAACAGCGAACCGTCGAAACTGACTTTTAGCCAGGGTGACCGTTTTAGCCGATTTTTGGCTAACTTTGACAGAATTTTTGTTAAAAAACGAGTTTGACAGAAAATTTGACAGAATGGATTTTTTGGCAGATTTCTGGCAGAATTCTGCAAAAATGGTTATTTGACAGAAAAACAGCAAATTTGAACCAAACAAGGTACATCGGTTTAAGAAAGCTTCCATCCTTTCAAACAAACCCTTGCATTAAGGGACAGGTTGGCTGGTCTAGGTGCTGAGGTTCACTGGGAAACGCACTTCAAATGTCGTGGCCAGATCCGTGTTTTGCTGTAAATGTACGCGATAATTTCACATCATCTTTATGAGACTATAGATTGTTTATAATGTAATTTGAACCTTAATTAAGGCAAAAGTACCAATCTGCATGTGATTTTCAGTGTTTATAGTGTATGTCGAGTAATTCTGGGGAATTTGGCAGATTTTTGATAAATCTGACAGATTTTTGATGTGCATTTAGCAGAATTTGGCTCTGGCCTTACTGTCACCCTGCTTTGAGCATCTAGGAGAGGGCAGGATTCCAAAAGTGGACAAAATGGTATCAATAGCGTTTTGGAAACAAGTTCTTCATTAATTCATGTCTTTTATTTATTAATCATAAATCAACAAGAACAAGAAAAAGACATGGAGGAAACCTATAGAACATCATGAACGTGAAAGACGAACCAAAAGAAACAGTCTAAATGTCAGTGAAGCAAGGAACTAGAAATAATGTTGAAGCAGAAAAAAATCTGCAGAATTGACAAATTTAAAAACAATTTAGCGTAACAAGAAAAGCATAAACCAGGGAATAACGGTTGCTTGGCTAGGTCAAGGGAAAATTAATGAATGGGATGAGTGATAAGAAAGGATACCTTAATCCTGAGAATCAATTCAAACAGGTTTTTTTTTTTGAGTAGAAGATAACGAAGTATGAGACCAGTGCTGTTTTTGACATGGTACCGGTAGTGTACACATACATTAACTTATACACACGATTGACTTTGAGCCCTGACCTACACCACGTTATGGGGACGTTTTTTATTGTTAGGCAAGTTAGGATCGAGTTATGGGGACTTTCTGCTGTCCCCACAGCATTTTCGGTCCCCACAAATACCGGTTCCTCGTACAGATGAGTGTCTGTCCCCACAACTATGGAACAAGACTGTGTGAGTTTTGCTTTTTGATTTCATTGATTTTTCTTATTTTTCAAATGTTCGGGGTCCAATTTGTATGGAGCTGGAAGGCTGTAAAGTTTTCATAGCGAATTCATGTACTGAGCAAAAAAGTAAGCGGGGAGCCAGTCACAGTCACTGTGCAATCACATGGACTTTAGCTGGTAACCACTTTTTGCTAAGCGAACATTTTCGGTGCTTAGTGCATTTGTGTGTTTCGGAGCGACTTACCAGCTTCTAAGCTCTGAATGAAGAAGTCATACTTGGAGAACCGTTTGGGTCTGAATTCATCCTCCCCCTCCTCTAGCTCCGCCCCTTCCTCTCTACCCTTCTGCTCGTTGATGAGGTCTTTCACTGTCTTTGACGTCTTCCCAAACGGTGGTGGGGGGAGTCTCATCTTGGACTGGGGCTCCGTCGCTTGCGGTAGAGACGCTACTCTTCCTCCAACGCCTGCCTGAGAGGCCAACTGCGATGTGACGTCGCCCCCTAGCGGATTGCCCTGGGTAGGCAGGTCATCGGATTCATCGGTACCTTGCGGTAGATGGGAACCGGTGTCGTCTGGAGAAGTGCTGGAGTGGGCTGCGTGGAGTCGAGCCAGATCAGGGATGTGGAGGCTGGCTCGTCGATGGATGTATTTCTTGATGGCATCCTTTTTACGTTTACTCGAGTTCTTCTCTTCCATTTTCTGTATGTTTTCTGTTGGAAACAGTATCAAAATCATAAAATTCATTTGAATAAAAATTGTCCGCAATTTTATTTTTAATACTAAAACTTGTCCACAAATTTATTTTGATAATAAAAATTGTCCACAAACACCATTTCCTGTTTGGACAGGTATAAAATAACAGCGAGGTTTGTTGCAATTTAAAGAAAACAATAGAAATCAACACTAGCAAAAAACACACTTTCACAGAAATGCGAAGAAGAAATCAACTGCAAGCCGGCCTCGCCTTCAATTTGCCATTTAGGTCTTGTCCATTAATCTGCCTCATACCAATCGGTCAAAATTTACCCAATATTCATAACAAACGGACAAAATGAGATTGCTCATCAGACCAAGCGCAAACAACGCGGGGGCTTATTATTATTTTTTCCCCCTTGCCTATTATTAAAAGCAAGAATAATAATCATCGTTTCGTGCGCTTCTTCCCCAACCCAAGCTGTCTCGACCTTGGGTCCCAACGTTCATTTACTGCGATTGGATTCTCCTAATTCCATTACGTGATTAGTGACCGGGGCCTTTTAGCAAAAACCAAGGCATCTTTTCTTTCTTCTTTATAAACGGGCATAATTGGTAATGGGGCCGGAAGGTTAAAATGTGAGTTTTTTTTGTGGTCATCTTTTTACATTTGCTGTTTAGAAGGCCAAATATGGGGTGTGAGAATACCGTGTGGGTTTTGGATGTGAAAAATCTGAGCATCTTTACGTAAAACACACTCGCATACAATGTGTAGTTTTCACAAAAAGAAAAAAATGAATATTTCGTCATGAATTCATTTCTTGATGAAAATGGTTATCAATCTGTGCACAGTTTGTTGTTATTATTTACCGTAAACCAGTGTCAGAGATCAATGTATACAATGTTCCTGCAAGTTCCCTTCCTCCTCTCCATATCCTTCCTTTGTGACCATAAAACAGACTTCATATCTCTAATTCCATTTCCATCCTTGTAAAGTTCATTCACTTTTTAAAGAGAGTTTATATGTTTCATGTCTTAACAAAATTGCAAACGTTTGTCCCTGTCTGTTAGTAGTGCATACGCAGGTTACTTTCTCAAAAACTTTTCCTGAAAAAAAACCAACAAAATTTTGTCCTGACACAGTTGAGAAATTTAAAATAATCCTTACAAAACTTAGAAAAATCTACAGCGTCTTCATCTTAACATCATTTTGGAATTTCTACTTTGATTACTCAACTCCTTTTTCCCAGCCAAAAATCCCTTTCTGTGTAAAAAGAGCAATAATTAAATGACCACGGTCAAAAATAGTTCTCTACATTTTCAGAAACCAAATGATCCCGAAAATGTCTGTTATCTCGAACATGACTCACAATCAGCCAGCCTCAGACGACACGCAAGCTCCTAGCGCTGGAAAAATTAACTTTGTCCTTTACTGCATACCAAACATGGTCAGTCTTTTTCTTGCCGTGGGAACTACAGCCGTGGCTAAGCCCACGGACAGCGAATGCCACCCATTCTTAATAAAAACCGTATCTCGCTGTTTTTCTTAGGAATATTAATTAAGTGACGAAAGCATAATTCCTCGGGCAGATCGGAAAGGGGTGTTAAGATGCCATGAAATTTTAATGGCCTTATCAGGTAACCTGTTTTAATTTGGAGACTAAAGTTGGGAACATACCGGTTTATGATGAAATTCTCAGTATTTTTTTTTGTCAGTTTAAGGTTCAACCTGTACATATTGCACACATGTACAAATAATTAATGAAAGTGGTTTAGAATTAGAGCATACATGCATTGACCAACTGCAAGAAACACATCTGAGATCCAGAATAATCTTGCGGTTCTTTTAAAAAAAAGATAACTAGGAACAGGAAAATTAGCTTGTCCCTTGGAATAAAATTCATCTTCTGGAGCGTGAGGCGAGTCAACCCATAGAAGTGATCCTGGATGGCATTTCACGCTGCGTGCAATTTGTGCAAGAACTGCGTGCAATGAACACGTAATTATGCATATTTGCTGCATACCAGTGGTTAAGCTATGAATATTTGATCAGTTTAAGACAAGGCAATGGACTAAATATCCCGGGGGAAAAGCTGAAGAAGAAAAAAACAAGGAAAAAAACTGAAAAAGCTTTAATGAGAATTGCACTGAACTATGTATACGAAGGCTCTCTGATAAACAATCAGATTGTAAGTGTTGATGTCAAAGGATAAGGGACGTCAGTAGGGATTTCTCATAAAAAAAATAAAATGACATGGTTGTCTTATATTGTCTTAACATAAAATTGTGTACATTGTATATTACCGTGCATGATTGCACATGAAGAGTACATGAATGTCTAAGTATAAAAGTACAATATTTATTTAGGTTTGCTCTTCACCATTATATTTTTATATGTACTATACATACATGCATGTCTTCTGCAATGCCTTCTGTACAGTACCAGTATGATGTTAAACTAAAAATCTCCCTTAAAATTGCATCTGATACAGTGGTACGTTTGTACAAGACACATGTGCATTTAAAGGGCATATACATCATTTGCTTTTGCTGTAATTTTCAGAAATGGATGAAATTGGGGGGTTGGAAATATATAGCAAATATAGTTACACTGACTTTTTTGAGGTTTTGGGTTTGAAAGTGCTATATAAACCAAGAAAAACAATCATTTTCCTGTAGTCTGGTTCCCTGACTTCATATAAGAAGAAACAGAGCAGTTTACATACATTGGGGAATTGTAAGGTCAGGGAACCAGTCTAGCTGGCTTGTACCCGTTCATAGGTGTGTAATCGATTGCAAACAAGTGCGATGGTCAATTGGGGCCAGTATTTGAAAAAAAGCCAGTTTTTTCCAACGCTGATCGGCCGATCAGCGTTGGAAATTGATACAAAAATACCACTTTTCTTGAAAATGACAGTATACCAGGTGCCATGATTTTACAGGATGCTTTACACTGTCATTCACTAACAGTCCAGCAAGGCATCTCAAAATGATTTGGTAGTTTCATTTTTTGATGTTTGCAAATGTTGTATTTTCCCTTTAAGTACCCGTACAAGTATTGTATGCATGCATCACCTATCAGTTAAAATACAGCATGCTCTGGAAACCCAAATGCCCAAAAATCTCAATGTGACAAACCCTAAAGTAAGATGCTTATACAATTTGTTTTATGGGTTCAACTTCATGTGGTTCATGTTAATGGAAGTGCCTGTTCATGGGTAACTCTATAAATTTAGGGTCCACTTTTTTTCCTGTCCCTGTTACATATATTACATGTACAATTTTGTAAATTCTGGATCCACTCCTAAATTGATGTTTTTTTTCCCCTAAGAGTGATGATGTAAATGAGAATAGTTTGAACTCATTTTTCATGATACTTTAGTTTAGGGGCAGATTAAGAAGTTCAGAGGTACGGTAACAGGGACAGAAAACAAGTCACATGGAGCCTAGATTTAAACAACGACCCATATTTGTTTTGACTAAAGTACGCTTAATTTTGTACCATATCTGGTAATGCACATGCACTAAAACAATACATTGTACTAGTACATCCTTTATCCCATTCCACAGAACAAGGAGGAAAAACATCCGCAACACTCTGATTATTCAAGTCTGGGATTTCTTTGGAGGGCACAACTTCCTTGCTCTCCAGCCAGTAAACCAACTCCGTGTTTTCACAATTTGAGGACTCACAGGGGCTAGGTTTACATGCCCGGGGCCGCCTGTTTAGGCTACGGTACCGGACTCGAGGCCCTCCGTCCGGGAACGAGTTACCCACTCTGCATGTGTAAGTGTTACATCTGTGGAGTCCGTACACCAGACATTGGGCTGGATTAGTAGCTGCGTAGAGGTAACCCAACCTTAAATTTTGGCATCAAGTTTGAATAATCACAAGGTCTGGTTTGGAATAATGCTCATTTTCAATGTTCAGGTTTTTTGGGGGGAAACACACGGTGGGCAAAGTTATGGAGATACGTGCCGGTGGTAATGCTGACAGGAAACTGTACTGGTCAGTTCACAAGGTCAATATGGCCACTTACAACAACTCGGTCAAAATTTGTCAAGTTTGATTGCACTAGTGGCCAACAGTTTATGCATGTAAAGTACCTGTGCGTTAATATTAAAACATGTGTACAAAGCACATTTACAGACTCAATCCTAGTTGAATTCTTCATGTGCATTATGTACCCACAGTCTTTTAAATTAGACTCCTACATGTACAAGACATTGGCAGTGGGGGAGGAGTGGGGGAGGAGGAGGGGGGAGGAGGAGGGGGAGGGGGAGGGGGGGGGGGGGAGAGCCATCCCGAAAATGATGTTCTGGTGGTGTTCTAAGAGCCCAGAGAAATACATAACCCACGGCCTATATGGTTGATTATTAAGACAAATATCACAAAACGTTTACAAGACGAATAGAGACAAAGGAAACAATGAGGTATTAGATCAACAAGAACAATTTTGCAAGAAAGATACTTACTGAAGCTGAAAGAGTCCAACGGTACGTCCTTTGCAATATCTGGATTGGATCTCTCCTCGAACCCGTACATTCCTATGAGTTCGTTCATTGTGTCGCCGGCGTACTCCTGCACAACCGACGGGTCGTAGGAATTACCGTGCTTGTCCTTCTTGCCAAAGACAGGGAGTGGTATTTTCAGAGGGATGCGCCTGAAGTCTGCTGGGATAGTGTAATCTTCGTCCTGATTATTATCATCGTCATCATCGTCAGTGTTTCTGTTCAGCGTGTCTGGGGAGGGTTTTCCTGTCTCATTCTGCATTGTTGATGAGGAATCGGCCTCCTCCATGCCTTCCTCTGAGACTTCACAGATAACGTCGTTTGTGGCCAGGCCTTCTTCGATCGGTTGACCTGATTGGTCGTCCGTCAGGCTCCGTTCTGCGTATTCCTGTATTGCTTTAAGATTGCTCAAGTTTGCCGGGTTCGGTGTGTCATCCAACTCATCCAGGCTATCTTCATCATCACCATCACCCTCCTCGTACATCTCACGATAATTGCCATTCTCGCTGGGCAAATCGTCTGCGTACCACAGAGGCGTATCGTCGCTCGTCGGACTCGACCGGTTGCTGAGGGCGCCCTCAATTTGTGTCTTATATACATAATTATTGCCTTGGTTGTCTGCCGAGTCCAGGTCCTGACGAGACAGAGATATTTGCATAGAGGTTGAATCGCTTGTGTTGCTTCCCTGAGATTTGTTGCTGCATCCTCTGTTGATTGTTTTGGACATCCCCTCGCCCCCCGGATATCTCATGTCCACTGCTAACGAGTCTGAGTAACCATTTTCATGCGGTGGGTGAGTATCCACCGAGTCCACAACACGGCGGGGGGCCAGTTTTAGCCTGGCCTTGCGCTTGCTTGCACCGCTGAGTATTTTGGTTGTTTCGGCATGGCCGTTGAGCAGACCTTTCCCCAAAAGCGGGTCTGCTTCCAGGAATCCATTCTCCTCGTTGCCTTCATCCTGGCTGTTAGTTGATTCGCTGTCCAGTTCGTTGGCGCTGTGACATGGTGACACGCCACTCTCAGACCCATTCAAGATCTCCCTCCGTGCAGTGGATGACGGGTGATGTCCGGTGACTGGACCTCCCTGGTGCTGTAGCGATATCCCGTTGATGGGCGCACCGTCCGTCAGTCCCTCCTTCAGCTTGGCGCAGATGGCATCTAGTTTCAACGTGAACTTCTTCATGGTGATTCGGTGTGCAGGGTGCAGCGTGAATGTCCCAGACGGTTGACTTCTGCCTCATGTTTTAGTGCATAGTTCCTGCAAAAGGGTTATAAAAAGGTGCCATTGTTTATATGATAATGAACTCTTACCACAAACTTAGGCAACCCTGAGTGAAAACTACTATAGCGCGCAAATGCAAGCGCAAACTTGCTTAGGCATGATCCAAACCCTAAGTCGCAAATATCTATAAAACCTCTTGAAACATCCTTGGGCAGCTATATGTACAGGTTCATTCAATGTTGCATTCAAGTCCATCACAAGTCCATAACAAATCCATCACAAGTCCAGTCATAAGTATATTGCATTTAATAACAAACGAATATCTTTTGCCAAAAAAACAAAATAGTTCGGCTTATTCTGACAGCCCCTCCCCTATTTTTTTTTATTGGAAAAATGAGAATAAAACACCCAAAACCATCCATTTCTACCCTTACTCTTGACTACACGCAGATGCCTCCATATGATTGTACACAAAAAATTGGAATTTTGTTCTTCTTTCCTACCTACCGGTACCCTATTTTTGAATGCCATGTAATCGGAAGCAGAACTATTTTTTTTTGCCTCATTCAAACAGCAGGTGACCTGTCTTGGGGCTTGATGCAGGCCCGTCGCTAAAGGGGGGAGGGGCAGGGCCCGTCGCTAAAGGGGGAGGGACAGGCCCCCCTGGCAAGGAATCTCCCCCCCCCCCCCTCGACAAAAACCTTTAAAAGCATAATGTGGTGTGCCCCCCCCCCCTCCCCCTCCTCTCCAAAGCCTGAAGTTGGCAATGGGGCTGGCTGGATGACTTGTAATTGACCCATGATTGGACTCAACTACTGGCTACATGCACAATTCATTTACGTGTACATGCAGGACTTGTTAAGCACAGCTGTTAACAAGTCATCACAAGTCAGTCACTTGTCAATCCCGTCCCAAGTCAACTCACAAGTTATTGAAACGAAGTGTGACAAAGGCGTTCCTTGGTCACTGTTCATCCCAGTTACTTGTGGCCTGACTTATGATTGACTTGTGATTATACTATAGATTACAACTATGCTGCTGACAGCTGTTGGGTTTAAAGTGCACTCTGAAAGTGACTTGTTGAAATATCTAACAAAAAGAAAGATGTGGAGGTTCCTTGTACCTCACGCTCTCCCTTCAGACAATAAACTTAGAAAAGCATTTTCTAAGTGAAAAAGTGTACAAGTGCCTACGTGCATGGGCGTCAATCGGGACGGGGGGAAGGGGGACAAGTCCCCCCCCCCCCCCACTTTAAAAAGTGGGGGGAATATCATATCATTTGCCCCCCCCCTCCTTTTCGTCCCCCAATAAAAATTGTAGCCTATGTTTGATTCTATAGCTCCGAATAGCTGATTCAATGACTCCAAACTTGAAAATGATGTTAAAATGATGATCTTTTGCTTTAAATAAAATTGGATAAAGTGGTCAGAAATTGCCTCAGATCCCACCACAGAGCGTCTAGAATCAAATTTCTTTCGCTTCGCGCTTCTCGCTCGCATAAGTTCTGATCAAGGTATGTCCCCCCCCCCCCGCCCACTTTTGAGAATTGATTGACGCCCTTGCCTATATGTAAAACACTAGACAAAATATTGAACAAGCATGTTAAACAGTATTTTCTTCTCTCATGGCCGTATCTTGTAAAGTTCATGTGTGCACCTCAACAACTGTTAGTTAACAAGCCAGCCAGTTCACAGCGGTGCTTGCAGGATGCATTACAGTCAGCAACAGAGAGACGTTTGATGGCAGAAATCAGAGAATATGTGGTAATTACGGAATAACGGGGCTGGGGTCACCGCGGGGATTTTGCTTATATCAACGTTGGTTTAAATGCATACACAAATTGTGCCGATGTTACTGTTATAAATGCAAAGTAACAGAAAATGGAATGATTTTTTTCAAAATCAAACTTTTTAATTCACTCTGATTTTTTTTACAATGTATGTTATCTGTGAGTGAAAGAAAAAAAACCCAACAAATTCTGCAATATGAAACAAAACATTGACAGCTTTAAGTGACACAGCACAAGTGTACATGTACACACATGTGCTTTTTTGGCGTATATAAACGTGAGTTTCACCATGTTGCGAATTAATTTAACAGAATGATTGATGGATTAGTTGAATGACATAAAAAATTACAGGAGTTGAAATAAACAGTGCATGACACAAAAATGGTACAAGTAGATTTTGGGGGTGAAAGAGACTCTGCAGAAATCTGCAAATCTCTCAAATTTGATGATTCAAAGTTTGGTGAAGACTTTTCAATTCAAGGGATTGGGGTCTGACTTTTTGGAAATGTTTCACAGAACACATTCTCTCCGTCTGTCGTCCATAAATCATTGTCTGGAATACTATAACCAACTCACCTCCCGTCCAAAAGGCTCTTTGACATCAGAACTTACTGACAACCCATTAAAACGCACAACTGGACAACTTTGGCCTATATCAACTGCACACCGCGGCCTCCCCGACCAAAATAGAACAGACAACTGTGTAACAGTCTTCCAGAATAGCCAGTCATGAATAATTCATGAGGTACTGACATACATCCGGCTGTATCATGTGTATGTGTACTCACAACTGAACTGGGATGATGCTGTATAATTAGTGTGTGACATCCACTGATAGTGACGCCACACAGCCCCTCCCCTTCATGAATTATTCATAGAAATGCAAATGATTACATCTCAGGAAAATGCAAAGAGTGAGGAGCCCAGCCAGCATCAGCTTGTTAGTTGCTTTATGGAATTCCTCGGAATTCTGATATGCACGCCTCGCCTACGGACATTCTGCACATTTTTAGGGGCCAGATCCAAGGTGAATAAATGGAAATTGGAATCGAGGCCTGAGATGAGGTTTTTTAGCGACTGACCTTTTCGTGAGTTCCGCCTGGAATGAATTAGCCTAAATCTGATAACTTGGGGCAAATTGGGCGACTTCATCCAATTTTCAATTTCTGAATTTTTGCAAGTGTCATCAGGGTCGTTAGGATTAGAATATCATTTTATGTGTGAAAAAAAAATTGAGAATAAAATAGAAATTTTTATAAAATTATTAAAATATTTGTGAGATAGGACAACTACTGTTACAAGTTTTGAGTGTTTAGCATGATAAATTTCCTAACAGTACATGTCCACTCAACAACATTTAAATTCATTCCATAATGTTTTACATTCAGTCACACAAAAAAATTGTCTAAAATATACAATATTCCAATGTAAATGTTGGCCTTGGCAATTTCTTAAAAAAAAAAAAGGAGAAATTTTCCATCGCTAATTCCAAACAGGAGTATTCTAATCGATCTCACCTCCATTCCTTTCCCTCCCTGCTGAGCCAAATGGAATTACCCCGCCAAAAAAAAAAAAAAAATAGATTTTGCATAAACCAAATTTGTATCAAGGCAAATTTTTGCTTCTGTGCAGCCAGGCTTAGGAATGTTGATATTATTACTAAGAATACGGAGCAGCACGAAGCCACGAATGTAATCTCGGAAATGGGATGATAGGAGTAATGACCCATGCTTTCAGAAATGCCAAATGGATAAACAATTTAGGGATTATTATCTGTTGGTTTTAATGGAAAACGCCGGGTCCGGCCGGCCTAGAAAAAACAGTTTTTTATTGTGGCAAGTGGTGCGCCGGGGCTCAGCCCAGCGTGATTTATCATCTTGCCAATTATTTATTGTGGGGTGAATCATTCATACCCGGTAAAAGGTTGGATAAGTCGGGGCTTAGTATTTTTTTTTCTTCCCTTTTTAGCATAATTAAAATGGTGGATTACAGTGGGATACAAGTCTTTTAAGAAAACTGAGGGTTTTTTTTTAATAAAATGCTCATGAGTCGTACATACATGTATATACATGTACAATGTAATGATGAAATAACGTAACTCTAAAAAAATGTTGAAAATGTGCTTAAAAGGCTCCTCAACAACATTAATTTCCATTGAAATCAAAAGAACTTATAGCACATGTATACACAAAGGCATTTTACACAGGGCAAATAAAACATTACAAAACATCACTACAATGTAATGAAATAGCAATACAAAGTAACAAAAAGTAATACAAAGTAGTAAATTGTATCCTGTTTCCTCCAGATTAAAGCCAACATTGCACAATTCTGCAGTTGAGAAGTTTTGATATTCCAAACTATTTCACTTAGTCATACTCATAACAAACATGGACTGAACATGTCAAATGCACTTACCAGTTTACCAACACTACGCAACATCCAGAGAGAGAAATGGGCCAAATTTTGCTTTGAGATCTGCACACAAATTGTACAACAGCTGCAAAACACTTGTCTTTTTATACTTCATCAAAACAAAAGAATTTCAAGAACGGGAGCTGGCTAAAAATACTTTCAAGATTCCAAGAGCGCTTAAACACATAAAAAAACACCAAACCAATATCGTAGTTTTGCTTTCAAATTTATGTGAAATGCTTTCCATGGAACATTCTTCTCTAAATGTAAAGGAACTTAAAAGATAGAATAGAAGAATTTGAGGGTTACATGGTACATGTTCCTAGAGTTTCACAAAATGGAATTCCCCTTGTATTTCTAGAAGTATTGTCGATTTAAATGCTACACGGTAAACTTTTTAGTTCTTTTCCAAGAAAATGTCATTTCCACTTCTATTGCAACCAAAAAAGGATGTATCCAAATTGATGAGTTTTCAACAGGAAATTGTTAAAAGTGTATTTTTTCAGAGATATTTGGCCAAAACCATTTTCAAATCTCTATGTGTACATATGATGGCAGTTCAGGGAAGAAAGAAAAGTTTTTTTTTTTTCAAGGAAGTAATTTTTGGACACATCTTCTTCTTCACTTTGACAGCAACCAAAAGTACCTGTGCAGGCACCTTGTAGTTTCAAGTCAAGAAGAAACATACAAAATGGGAATTCCTTGGTTTATCCAGAATAAAACCAGCTTACAAGTTTAAATGATGTGAAGAACAACGCACGTTTTCGTTAAACATAAAGATACGTTAAAGCAATGAATCAAAAATTTTCTTTTTTTCTGAGAAAACATTTAA